AATAATCATCATCATCATCATCATCTTTATTTATACCTTGCCACCATCTCCCCCAGTGGGAACTTGGGGTGGCTTACATGAGGTCAAGCCCAAACAACATGTTACAGCAAAATAAAACCAAAAACATAAGCAACAAGCAACAACATCGTAATCACATAAAAACATATGCATACATTAACAATATAACATTACAATAAACACTTTGATTATTTCTTTTAAAAATGGGATGTCTTTTCCTTGCATAATATTAATCCTTCATTATTTTAATGAAGCAGTGTCAACAAAAGACAAAGGCTACAGACTTTTATATTTCCAGGATTCAAAACATCAGGATGCTAACAGTGACACCTGCAGGTTACTTATGAAATAGTACACCAGCTATTATAAAGCCCCGGTGGTGCAGTGGGTTCAACCCTTGTGCCGGCAGGTCGCAGGCACACCGGTGTCTTCCACCACTAAGATTCTATGATTCTAAGATTCTATAGAGACTGAAGACCAACAGGTTGGAGTTTCGAATCTGGGGAGTGCATGGATGAGCTCCCTCTATCAGCTCCAGTTTTTCATACAGGGACATGAGGGAAGCCTCCCACAAGGATGGTAAAAATATCAAAAAGCATCCGAGCATCCCCTCAGCAACATCCTTGCAGACAGCCAATTCTCTCACACCAGAAGCGACTTGCAGTGTCTCAAGTCGCTCCTGACATGACACAAAAAAATTAAAACAAACTGGCTGGTTCTTCTATAAAACCGAAAACTGACAAGTTAGTGTTTATCAGGACTACTAAATAATGTTACAGTGAGAAATAAGTGGCCTGAGCTGTCTGTTTCTTGAGATATCTATCAGTCGTGATGGTATGCAAATTAGGAGATTTTAGGAGATAAGGGAAGATAAAAGAGTTCAAAAATCTAGGCCTGTGAACTGGTCTTAAATACATCTCTGTCACTGTAAAATCACTGTTGCAGGCTCAGTGAAGGTATGTTAATATATGACAGACTAACTTTAAATCTTTTCTTTGATAGAGTAGCAAGCTTGTTTGATGAAGGGAATGCTGCAGGTGTTCAATTTGTAACAATAAAAATACATCAGATATTTACATTATGATTCATAACAGTAGCAATTAAAATAATTTATGGTTGGGGGACATCACAGCATGAGGAACTGTATTAAGAGGTCATGGAATTAGGGCGGTTGAGAACCACTGTTACAAATTACCTAAGCTGCTTCTGCTCCTCCTCCTAATACTATTGGGCCCTCATGTGGGCACTTTCTCTCCTGCCTTAAAGGGACTTGCGAGCCTCCTTCCAGCCTCGCACACTCCCTTGCCTGCACGCCATGCGCCATGCATGCCTGCTCTCCCCCTCCCCACTTGGAGTCTCAGAAACAACCCTCCCCTTGGCTGAGGAGGGCTTTTGGTGGGATTCGCGGTCTGTTTCCAAAAAGGAAGAGAATGACAGGCGGAGAAATATTCAGCCTAATCTGCCAAAGGGGTTCCTAAGACCATCAGAAATATGTTTTCTGATTATCTTTGGCGACCCCTCTGAAACCCCTTTGTGACTCTCCCAGGGGTCCCCAACCCCAGGTTGAGAAGCACTGGTCTAGAAAATCTTTGAAATAGGTACTTTGGATAGAGAGGATTCTTGGGGAGAAAAAGACAACAAACAATGAGCCCACAAAGGCTTTGGATCATATTAATGAAAAGACTGGCAGTATTTTACATCCTTTAAGTATGTTCCGACTTGTCATCTGTGATGGCATGAAAGGAGGCCCACTTCACTACACAGCAAATCTTTCAATGATCACTCTAGCTTCAGTGGAAAGATTGGATGAATAAAGCCAGGCATCTCAAAGCATACATTCAGTAGCGTACTGAGAATTAGTGATTTGTTGAGCTTCAAGATGGTAAGCAAAGGCAGCTGTCCCCAGAAAGCTTGTTGGAAATAGTGGGACAAATTTCTTTCAGTCGCTGTTGGTACACTGTCATACAGCCAGATTGTTGGTATTTTTGGGGCGGTGGGGGTGGGGGTTTGGTGGTAAGAATAGGACATGTGAACCAAGGAGTCAAGCTTGTGGCTTTATCCCAGGGGCTGGAATTAAATATGTTTAAACATCAGTTTAGATAACTTTTATTAAAACACTAAATGAAATCCCATTTGATTTATTGAAAAGAATTCAGATTCTCTGGGACTTCAGCTCCTAGCATTTGTCACCATCGGTTATACTTCTGAGTGTTGCAGTTGCAGGGCTGGGGAATCTTTTTTACTGCCAAGGGCCATTATGATATATATATAACATCATTCACAGGACATTCATTCATTCATTATAAATAAATATAAAAATATATATTTTATCATAAACTATGAAATTATATATTAAAAGTCAAATGGATGTTCCAAAGTTGGCCTGTACACACGTGCTTACAGGCTTCGGTTCCACTGGCAAAAACATGAGTGGAAGAGAGCATGCTTGCATGAGGCAAAAAACCCAGAAGTGGCTTGGGTCTGAATGGTAAGTGGCTCCTAGTCCACAGAAGTCAGCATGGCAAATGGAAGGAACAGGAGCCAGGTTAAGTAGGTAAACTTGGGTAAGCATCAGGCCAGGCCAGATGATTTTGCAGGTCTTATAACACTAGCAAGCCAGACACTCCCTGCCTTGCTAGGAAATTCATACCATGGACAGAAGCAGCCCAAATTTGTAGGGAAAATACCTGCAAGTCAAAGGCATAGTAATCAGACCCCTATTATCCCTAGACAGGGAAGGAGACTTGGGAGTGAATTTTTTTGCTTTGCTATTCTAATCCTGCATCTTGGTTTTGGAACAAAGCCAAAATTTGTATAATTTATTCTGGAGATCTTTTTTGTGTAACGTCTTCATCTGAGATTCAGTTTTTGCAAGGATTGTTAACGGCACTCGGTTCGAGTCAGTACTTGGTTAGTATTTGGGTCAGAGACCAAGGGCTAGACCAAATGATCTCAAGGGCCAAAAACTGCCCTCCAGACCAGAATATCCAATCCCTGATTTAAGGCATCAGAAACATTTTTTCAGGAAAAAACCCGCGAGTAACTGAATAACTGCTGTTGTGGCAACACTATAATTTAGTTTTGTTCATGCCACTTCCACATTGTCTGCTTCAAGACCTGATAACTCAACATCTGCTGTGTGATTAAACACCATCAAGGAACAATATTCAGGAAGCTAGAGTTTCAAAATATTGTACCTGATACTAAACTACATTTTCAGGTAACTGGGAAAATATATATTATTTGGTTAGCATAGATCATTATCATTTGAGAACTGCAAAATTGTGTAAATGTGTTTATGATAAATTCCTTCTTTAGGTTGCCTATTCAAGCACTCAATCTGTCCCTCACTTTGCCCCTTCAACTTTCAAGCCACTCTCTGGGTTTAGTAATACGGACAAATGACAATTTTGGACAAGCAAATGGGTTGAGAATTGTGTGTCGATATCCTTTAGCAAATCCTTAAATGAATAATGCACTGTCAGAAAAGCAAATGTTAAAAAGTATAATTCATTCATTTCCTTTAAAAAGATGCAATGCCTGTATGGAAGATGGCCCTGTATTTATTTCAATGTATCCACATGCGTAATATCATTTTCCCTAAACTCATTAACTTTTGCTATGCCTTTAGCTTCAAAATAGCTAAGATTTTGTGTTTTTTTTTTCTGATCTGATGACATCTGAACAAATTTTACTAGCCGCCCCTTGCCACGCCTTGCAGTGGCCCACCTGGGGGTTCTGTGTGGGATGTTTGGCCCAGTTCTATCGTTGGTGGGGTTCAGAATGCTCTGTGATTTTTAGGTGAACTATAAGTTCCAACAACTACAACTCCCAAATGTCAAGATTCTATTTTCCCCAAACTCCACCAGTGTTCACATTTGTGCATATTGAGTATTTATGTAGAGTTTGGTCCAGATCCATCATTGTTTGAGTCCACAGTGATCTCTGGATGTAGGTGAACTACAACTCCAAAACCAAAGGACACTGCCCATCAAACCCTTCCAGTATTTTGTTGGTCATGGGAGTCCTGTGTGCCATGGTTAGTTCAATTCCACCATTGGTGGGGTTCAGAATGCTCTTTGATTGTAGGTGAACTATAAATCCCAGCAACTACAACTCCCAAATGACAAAATCAAATTTTTGAGTGAAGGACATACATTGGGTTGTTAGGTGTCTTGTGTTCAAATTTGGTGTCAATTCATCCAGTGGTTTTTGAGTTCTGTTAATCCCACAAACGAACATTACATTTTTATTTATATAGCTTTGGTTCCTTTTCTCACCATTCCAAGATCTGTGAGTGGCTGGTTCATGCAATGCAGGATAATCTTTTGAATAATGAGACATCTGTATACTCTCCTTTGCACACATATACACAATTCCTTGACTTTATGCAGTCTTTCACCTGCCTTTTCCTTAAACTTTGGCAATTCGTGTTGACAATACACCTAGCCTAGCTGTTCTTATCTTCTTGCTTCCAAATCTGCATCTTTGGACACACACTGGCCTGGGCTCTCTTGATATTCTTTTCCTGCTTGATTATCTTATCTCCCTCAGCACCACTGCTCACATTATGCCTACCTCATTTCTTGTTTCCTACTTCTTCTTTTTGAGATGGCTCAGATATGCATATGGGTGATTTTCATTTCTTGATACTGTGCTATGCTATGCAAATCCCACTGAAAAGTGCTGTAGTTTGATATTTTGCTATGCCATATAAATCCCACTGAAAATGAGTTTGAACATTTGCTTCCTTTTCATAAAACTTGTGATTCTTTTCTGCCACCGACCTGAGTGAACACATTTCTTTCTGGTCCAGTGCAAATCTATCTTTACTACCTTTGAGCCTAAATGAGGTCTATGTTGCCCTTATTCTGCTCTTTCCAAGAGCTTCCTGCAGTGCTAAAACTTAACTATTGCTTTCGATCTCTTCTTCTTCTTCCAAAACAAAGTGTCAGTTTTTAAAATTTGTTATAACACATCAAACAAATAATATAATGTATTTTATTTTTAATCAGTCAAAACATCTCTCCATCGCTTCTGCACAGAAATCAGGTAACGCCTGAAATTCTTGATCCAGAGCACAGTGGACCAGTATGAGGCACTTCAGCTATTATTCTGGCTCTCGTGATATAAAAAAGCCTTCAAATGCAGGGGAATTCTGCCCTGTTTTTGCTATAGAACATTTTATATCCATAAGAGGTTTTTAAAAACGGGAAAAACGCTTTCTCCTGGGCCTAAATGGGCTCCATAGGTGAAAATGTAATGAAATGACTTCCCATGTCTATTGGTGGATATTCAAGAGAAAAAGATTGTGGGGATACAATCCAGGGCAGTGAAAAATAATAAACCTAATACCCAACAGTTTTATTTACAGAAATAATGGCAAGCAGACTGGTGCCATGCACCTATTTGCTTTTTGTAAATAACAGCATAAAATATACAAGTTTTCATAGAAAAACAATAAGGCTAAACTAGTGCAAATAGAGATGGTCATTAAATTTCACTATCAACCATCCCAAGGCTGAAGTAGGAACCAGGATGAAAAAATGGGATGGTTCAGACTAGCGCATTTTCCATCTTAGAAATCAAGTCATCACAGATTTTTGTGAGTTCTTCGTTTTCTTTTGCCTGTCAAAGAAACAGGGGAAAGGGTTATACCAGTTGCACAAGTTGCATGTTCTGAAAAGACCACCCATAGTCTACATCAGGGCTTCTTAAACTTTTTCCAGTCATGACCATTTTCCGCCTGAGAAATGTTTACATGCCCCGGGTAAGAGATATATAAATCAAACATTTACTGATAACAAACCATCATTTTACAAAGCTTGCTGATTTTCCTTTTGGTAGTGCTGAATCATTTTCTGCAGAGTGCACGGTAAACACTGCATGTTGTTGCTAACAGATATGTGTAAATGGGTAGTGTTCAAAAACCTTTTATTGTTTTTCGTGACGCCAACATTGAATTAAGGGGACTTCATTTGTAGTCAGGACCCATAGTTTACAAAGCAGTACTCTAGATCAGCGGTTCTCAAATTGTGCTCTGAAAAGCTGAAGCAAATTGAGGGGCTCCGCCCTTCTTCCTCTCTCCTCTCCCCCTCCAAGAGCACCTGGTTGGAAATCCCTGCTGCTGAAACTAACCCCTTGCCATGCAGAAGAGGCAGAAAGAAAGAAAGAAAGAAAGAAAGAAAGAAAGAAAGAAAGAAAGAAAGAAAGAAAGAAAAAGGCAGGTAGGCAGGCAGAAAGTGAGAGAGGTAGGTAAGAGCATGCCCTTGGGAAGGTGAGGCACTTAAAGACACAGGGCAGGGAGGCTGCAGGCTGCATGGAGGTTTTGTGGAGATGCAGGACTTCAGCGACACAGAATGTTAAGCCCCAGAAGGGTGGCTTGCCACCCAGATCCTTTTCCCTGCACCCCTTGCCGCCTAGACACTTATTATTACAAAGGCTGGATGGCCATCTGTTGGGGTGCTTTGATTGTGCTTTTCTTGCATGGCAAAAGGAGGTTGGACTGGATGCCCCCTGGAGTTGCTATTATTAGTATTTATTATTTATTATTATTACAAAGGCTGGGTGGCTATCTATTGGGGGTGCTTTGATTGTGCTTAAACCTCTTTGCAGAAGGGGTTAGACTGGATGACCTCTGCGGTTTTCCACTGAAATACTGTTATGTTGGTTAAAATGGTTCTTCATTTTAAACATTGTATTGTTCTTTTCTTTCTTTCTTTCTGCACTACAAATGAGGTATGTGCAAACAAGTTAGTTCACATAAACACTCTCCATCCATCTGCCACTGGCCCGACCTGTCTGTGAAATTTTAAAACTTAATGCGGCCCCTGTTTCCAAAAGTTTGCCCATGCCTGATATAGGTAAAGGTAGTCCCCTGACATTAAGTCCAGTCATGTCTGCCTCTGGGGTGTGGTGCTCATCTCCATTTTTAAGACGAAGAGCCAGCGTTGTCCGTATACATGTCCAAGGTCATGTGGCCGGCATGACTGCATGGAGCGCCGTTACCTTCCCGCCGGAGAGGTACCTATTGATCTACTCACATTTGCATGTTTTCGAACTGCTAGGTTGGCAGAAGCTAGGGCTGACAGAGGAAGCTCACGCCGCTCCCCGGAATCGAACCTGTGGCCTTTCGATCAACAAGCTCAGCAGCTCAATGCTTTAACCCACTGCGCCACAGGGGGCTCCTATGCCTGATATGCATACCTTATATATAATATATAAATATCTATTGGTGCTGCATGATAAACTTTTGCTTCAAAAAGGGCTTTGAGACTGAAAAAGTTTGAGAACCCTATGTACTTATAAATTAGTAAAATCTCTTCCAAACTATACATAGCAGACCTCATTTTTAATCAGTAAAAGATGGGAGTATAAATTAAAGGAGAAAAAAACCTGTGAATCTTGCATTGCTATGCAGGCATGCATTTGAAAGACCCTTTTTCCTATTAGTTTGGTGGGGGCTCTCATTGTGCATAAAAGCTTTGATTTACCCACAAGTGATTTCTACATACTGAATTGCAGCCACATGCTCACATGCAAGTAGAGAGAAAACACTGAGGACTTAATTCCCTGCCCATAGTATTCCACTTTCTGGAATCCTAATATTGTATTATTGCCATTGTTTCCATCACCATACACTTGATTAAATTGCCTCTGAATTTAATGGGAACGAGTCAGTATTATTATTTTATTATTTATTTGGGGTTCTTTCAGTAGTTCTTTGTCATGTAATGTGGGCCGGGCAATTCTTCACGCAATCCTGATTTCAGATTGCAACTATAGATTTAATGTATACATATCAAAGCCTTCAGGAGACAGTCTAGATCCCTGCTTAGAATACTGAATATTGGATCCACAAAGAAACTGACCTTTTGCTCAATGCTTTTCTCTAACGACTGGACTCTCATTTGTTCTTTGCGCAAAGTGGCTTGAAGAGCCAACACGTCTGTTTTAGCTTTGCTTCTTACTTGGGCAATCTCTTCATTCGCTCTAAAAGAAACAGGTTATTCAGGTATATTAATTTTTAAAAACAGGTACTGCAAATGTAATACAGATCCTTGTAAAATGTTACTCACTTGCACAACTTTTCTTCTGCATGTGCCTTCAATGCTTGGTATCTTTGCTCTTCCTTTTTAATTCTTGCAAGATACTCCTCTACACATTTCTTCAGAGCCTCTTCATTCTAGAAAATGAAAGCATCCTTTTAGTTTAGCACTCAGGGGACTAGAATCCTCGTTGGTGGAAATGTATCGACTACTTCAAAGCAAAAACTTATAACATTCAGTAAATATAATTAAAAACATAAAAAAATATATATTTTATGTTATATTGGTCTAAGTAGCCTGGCATTTCACATGGTAGTGATGTGGTAGCCTTTTGCTATTATTTGACTAAAGTATATTCATTACTAATTAATATACATTAATCACTTATGAAGGAGTTAAGAGACAAAGGTTTGGTGAACTGACTCCACAGCCCTGTTAAGCACTACTACTGGCTTAGCAGTACAAAGAGAAAATATATTTTAAATGTAAAAGTTGTTCTCTGTCAAATGTAAGTGGAATTTCTCATAAAATACATCTCAGAAAACAAAGCTCTGTAAATTGTCTCTTGACTTACGGCCAAAAATATTAATATTAATTAAAAAGCCAAACTACTTAAGATTGACTTAGCCTCTATATAAGACAATATTACAAATGTTAGTAAATGGAAACATAATTTAATTTTTATATCAATAACTAGCCATCCCCTGCCACGTCTTGCTGTGGCCTACTCTGGTGGTCATGGGGGTTCTGTGTGGGAGGTTTGGCCCAATTCTATCGTTAGTAGGGTTCAGAATGCTCTGTGATTGTAGATGAACTACAAATCCCAGCAACTACAACTCCCAAATGTCAAGATTCTATTTTCCCCAAACTCTACCAGTATTCACATTTGGGCATACTGAGTATTTGTATAGAGTTGTATCGAGGTCCATCATTGTTTGAGTCCACAGTGATCTCTGGATGTAGGTGAACTACAACTCCAAAACCAAAGGATACTGCCCACCAAACCTTTCCAGTATTTTCTGTTAGTCATGGGAGAACTGTGTGCCAAGTTTGGTTCAATTCCATCGTTGGTGAGGTTCAGAATTCTCTTTGATTGTAGGTGAACTATAAATCCCAGCAACTACAACTCCCAAATGACAAAATCAATTCTTGAGTGAAGGGCATATATTGGGTTGTTAGGTGTCTTGTGTCCAAATTTGGTATCAATTCGTCCAGTGGTTTTTGAGTTCTGTTAATCCCACAAACGAAAATTACATTTTTATTTATATAGATGTCACTGTGGCACATTTATAGAACATTCCATTTTAGACTATCTGCATTTCCCCCCTAAATTGGAGGGATATGACTATTAAGTGGTGAAATATAGTAGCTCCAGGGGGGAAGATGGTGTAGAAAGAGACAGAGCTAGAGATATTTAAGGAATAGACGGAGTAAGGCACAGTTGGAAATGCTTACCCTCTGAAATCCTTCTATTGCCTCTTTTTGTTTTTCAAATCGCTTGAAGAGTTCCGAGAAAGATTTCTCCATAGAATTCAAGTCAGATACAAGTTGCTGTTTTTCATCAACTACTTTCTGCAATTCTTTTTTTGAAAGCTCTTTCTGACTCTCGCGCTCTTCTGCAGAAACAAATTTGTTTTAAGTGACTCGCTCTATGTTCACTCCTTTAAGATGCTATATGTTGTCCCTAACAATACAAATGCTTGGAGATATGTTCAGAGGCTCCAGTTAGTAAACTCATCCCATGAAAGTCAAACAAGGCTGTCTCACAAATGCACAATTTCAGGTGACGTATAGAACAGAATGAGGTGCACAAAAGAAAATATAGTAGATCATGATGCAATGTTTAATCCAGTCTATTTATATAGCTATATTTTTCAGCTACCTTGCCCTACTATTTCCAAAAATCATAAAGAACAGCCAGTAGTTAAAGAAATTACACACACCCTAGACAAATCTACTTTTGTCTAGGATGAGGTAGTGAACATGTTACAATTTAACTCCCATCAGATGCAGGAAACATGATCTATGTTATTGCAACACACCATCAAGAGGGCCACAGGCACCTACTCCCAGCCCCAGAAAGCAACAAAGGGCAAAATGTTCAATCATTTGAGTCTGTGGAAGAGGGAAGGATCTGTAGATAGTTAAAACCAAATTCTTACACATTAGATTTGATGAGTTAACTAGATCAATATGTAGTCAACTTCTGCTTTCTCAGGTGCTGTTTACTAGCTCCACTTCTAAAAGATTTAGCTACAGGGTGAGGCATAAAGATTCCATACTTCGAGGAAGCACTGTGTGGGAGGTACTGGGAGTAGAGATGTGAGGGAGATCTAATTCGGTAGATTAGGCTCTGCCATTTTCAGAACCCATCATGAGTTGGATTGGTGAACTTCAGGGCTTTGTTGTTCAAGCACATTATGAGAACAACCATTCTGCGACAACAACAGAGAATGTTCTGAACATGCTCAGCATTCAGCCAAAATGAATTTCTGCTACATTCGAAAATGATTTTGCTATGGTTTTCTAATCTTTGGGAAACTGGATCACACTAAAAAGAAATCCCTGGCAGATCTAGGAACCTTAGAATTCTAGAAAATGTGGAAGTAAGAGCATCCATTCAGCAACTGCCAAGGCATTCCACTCACAAGTCTTCCATAGCACTGGGGATATCAAGTTGAAGAAGAATTCTGCGTGCATATTTACAAAATTGCTTATCTGATGTTATTTTTAAAACCCTTTACTACTAAACTGTTTTTATGTACTTTTCCGAAATATATACATTTTGTTTCTAGGTAGCTTTGTTCATTTTTACACCCCCTCAAGATGTGGGAGATCTTTATTCCCCCCCCCCCCCACTCTGTAGAATGGATATGCTAAACACACATAACTGAGAGTAATCACAATTCTGTGAAGAAAAATAGGCTTTGCATGGAGAGAATTTAACTTCAGTCCATCTCATGTACAGTTGAAGAATCTCAAGCAGCAGAGCTAGAAATAGTGTCTATATAAATACTGAGAAAATTGGTGCTAACTAGCAATGCCAGTAAAAGGCCAAGTAGACATGTATGCTCAAATTTAAGAAGCTGAATATAGATGTCAATGTGTGCATTTGTAATATGGGACACATTTTTCCTGCACCCAAACAGCAAAGCATTGAAAAAAATGTTTTATGTATCTGCTTACCCATCACTTGTGTAATGGTGCCTTCAAACTCTGCAACAATTGTTCTAAAAGAAATACAAATATTTTATTTTCAAACATAGGACCAGAAAATTAATATGATTCCACAACAATGAAACAATATCCGTCCTTCCATTAATAACTCCAAAGTATGGAACATATCTATTAAGCATGTACAATCCATGGTTCTAAATGATTCTAAAGTACTTACAAAACTAAAGTTCTGGTGGTGAACACTAGGGGGCACTGGTGCTTTGCTTCTACAGTGTTGCTAAAGTTCTGGTGGTGAAAATTACAGAACTCTAACAAAATTTCATTATAAATGGCATTTCCTAATTGGTTCTGTCATAAAAATCTTCAATAATCAAATAATAATGAAATTTTGATAGTTTTGTTAGAGTTCTGAAATTTTCATCACCAGAACTTTAGTAACACTGTAGAAGCAAAGCACCAGCACCCCCTAGTTTTCACCACCAGAACTTTAGTTTTGTAAGTACTTTAGAACCATTTAGAAGTATGGATTGCACATGCCTGATATCTATCTATCTATGTATCTATCTATGTATCTATCTATGTATCTATCTATCTATCTTACAGAAGTAAGCATAGGTTTACTTTTCTAAAAGTTTCTGGAGGCAGGATTAAGTTAATTTTTCAGACTTACCAATATGGGGAGAATATCTATTCTCCGTTTAGAGGCTGCCTACGAAGAGACTCCTATCCTCCCAAACCTGCCTGATTTATGCAGCAGCAGGAATTTGAACTCTCTGGAATTTATTTGACAGTGATATAACCCTAGACAAGCTATCCTAAACAACTGAGCCAAGAGGATCAAAAATAAAAGATCTAGGGTTGCACTCCTCTGCGTCTTTCTCCCAGTACAGACTGTCCATCCAAATACTGTACAGTAGCACAAGCAATTTCATCTCCAAATCTGGGTTAGAATCCACAATATGGAAGATATCTATGTAATTGGCGAAGGCAGCATACACAGAAAATGTCCATTATTGCCTAGATGTACATACCCCATTTCTTGACTTTCAATATAAATTTTGTCATGCTTCATTTTCCACTCCAAAGCTTCTCTTTGCTTTTCTTCAACCTGAAACCATAACAACCCAAAATATTTAGAAAGAATTCATTTATCTTTAGATTTACAGTAAAATTAAAGAAACATTGCCAGAAAAGTTCTTGGAAAGACCTCAGACAATTTTAGAATTTGACAAACAACATTACTCAGTATCTGATCTCATGCCCCCACCTCCAACAAAGAGGGGGGATTGACAGGGCTAAAGGTCCCAAGGTTAGGCGAGGGCTACACGGGGACCCCTTGGAGCCTTTTATGTCTTTCTCTGGGGTCCTTAGGAGACCTCTCTCTCTCTCTGGGGACCATTTGGAGATTTTTTCTCTTACTCTGGGTGCCCCTTGGAGACTTTTATGTCTTTCTATGGGTGTCCTTAGGAGACTTTTCCCCCTTTTTCTCTGGGGGACCTTCATGGGATCCAGGTGGGTCCCACACTTTGATGGCATTTTTTCCATGACTTTAGAATTGGTACTGCTATTCTCTAGATGTAAATGATCTTGAAAAGCGAAGAGGCCAACAGAAAAGAATCTTCAGAAGGGGACAGGAAAGAATAAGAGCCAAGTTTGGGGGGGGGGGAGATTAAGAGGTGGGAAAGGGCCACCTTGCCCGCCTGTGTGTGGAGAGAAGTGGGCAGGGCTGCCGACAAGAATCAGAAGGGAGGTCTTGGCTTTGCCATTCACAGGGGGCTTTTTCTTTACTTGATAACTGGAAATAGAATCTATAAATGCGAGGTGCGACTCTCAGAGATTTTACTGAAAGTATTGAAAAATGTGAGTTTACAAAAGCTAGAAAATATACTTTGAGGTAATTTTGATTATTGTTATTAAAATAAATATAAAAATTAATTTGATGTCACTATCTCAATTGACTTATTTTATCCTAAATCATGCTTCGCCTAACCTTAGATGGAGGGAGACCAACCAAAAATTCTGGCCTGGGGGCCCACTTTAACATGTGGGGGGCCATGTCCAATCAATTACTCTTGTTTGGCTTTTTTTATTTTAGGATTTAAATTCTGAATGCCCTCTTAAGACTAGACTTTATTACTGATCTTTGTACTACTATCTTGGAGATGAATACTCATGTGATCCTCAAGACTGGAAGCAGAGTATATAGCTATGGATAATTCTCTTACTCTTCTTCTTTCCCTCTCTATCAGTCCCTCTTTTTCTGTTATAATCCCTTTCCCCTTCCTTCTCTTTCCCCCCTCTTTTTTCTATCCATTCTTCTTTTTCTTTCTCTTGTGTCCTTTCTTTTTCTCTCTTCCCTCTCCTTTCTATCTTTCCTTCTTTCTTCCTCATTCCCTTTCTTTTCCTCTCTTGTGCACCTTTCTCTCTCTTCCCATAACTCTTTCCTTCCTTCTTTCTCTCCCTCCCTCCTCTCTCTTGTGCCTCTCTCCTACTTTCTTCCTCCACTCTCCTTCTCTTTTCCTTTTTTTGTTCTTTCCTTCTTTTTTCCTCTCCTTTTCTCTTTCTTGTGACGCTCTCTCCTTCCTTGCTTCTCTCTCCTTCCCTTACTCCGCTTCTCCTTCTCTCTCCCTCTCTTTTCTCCTCTTCCTCACCCCCTCCTCTCCCTTCTCCCCTAGCTTTCGTTCTTAGCTTCAGAGGAAGGCAATAGTGACAACACAATCTGGCTTAAGATTTCCAAAAGCCAGGTTCAGTTTGAAATCACATCAGAGCAGCCTCCCTCTAAATAAGAGACCTTCTCATCCACATCCCTGTTCAAGTCTTTGCAAATTTATCACTCCTCTTTAGCATATACAGGCTGTCCCCAAATCACAACAACAAAACTTTATTATGGTCCCTGACCAGCACAAAACAGGGCACAAGCACCCTGAGAAGAGAAGCACAGATCCCCAGTGAAGCATTAAAAAGTAGATTAGAAAACAGTTTAAAACACAGGTTATTGTAACAGGTATGGAACTGGGGGGGGAGGGGGGGAGATAAGATAGGTTCTGTAGGTTTGTTCTTAAATTGAATTTGCATGTAAGCCAAAATAGGCACATTTCTTAAGTGTAACTCCAACCATATATAATTGCATATTGTTTTTGTGATTAATCCCAATGCTTTAATTATGTTCAATTTGTGACAATGAAAATACATCCCTCATACAACATATTTACATCACATTTTCTAACTGTAGCAAAATTACAGTTATGACGTAGCAATGGAAATAATTTTATGGTTGGGGGTCACCCCAACATGAGAAACTGTATTAAAGGGTTGCGGCATTAGGAAGATTTGTGACCACTTAGTTAAGGGACTGGCACCTGGCAAGTCAAAGATCTTGAGGGGTAACAACTCCAAAGGCTGACTTCCAGTAACAGCCTCCATCACTTGAATAGTTTTCATTTAAATACTGTAGTTAAGTAATTTCTGTATCAGTCATTAAACTGGAGGAGTGAATAGACAGAAAAGATTCAAAACAGTGTCAAATCAAGCATTCCCTTTCAAATTCTTACCTCAGAAGTGAGCTTTTTAACAACAACATCCATCTCATGCTTAACCTTTTCTACAGCTGCATCCATGTCTTTCTGACTGTACTTCAGCACTTCAATAATGGCCTCAGTGGGCAGAGCACAAGGGAATACTGAAGGATTCTTTTCAACTAGGATGTCTTGTAGAGTTTTGGCCTGTGACAAGAAATTTAACATGTATTTAAATGCAATATTTGGTATCTTGGTTCTCTAATTGATACTGAGCACAAGCTATACCTATATAGTGATTTCAGACTAAACCTATGACATCCAGACTTGGGGGTCTTATTATTCTCTGAATTAAAGACACATGGATAAGATCAAGGCTCCAGAGAGCTCAATTATTCAGTTGGGAAACTATGATTTTCCATTACAGTTTGAGCATCTCCTATATAGAATTTCAAAATCCAAACTACTCCAAGATCCATATAAAACACAAATTTATTTATTTATCGTGTCAGGAGCAAACCGAACAGTTGTATTTCATTTTTTTAAAAACAAAGAAACAAACAGTTAAAACACAAGTTTGCAAGCTTGGTAGTTGATTAAATGTCCTTTGACCAGTAGCTGGCCACTTGGGAGTGCCTCTGGTGATGCTGCAAGAAGGTCCTCCATTGTGCATGTAGCAGGGCTCAGGTTGCATTGCAGCAGGTGGTCTGTAGTTTGCTCTTCTCCACACTCGCATGTCATGGATTCCACTTTGTAGCCCCATTTCTTAAAGTTGGCTCTGCATCTCGTGGTGCCAGAGCCCAGTCTGTTCAGCGCCTTCCAAGTCACCCAGTCTTCTGTGTGCCCAGGGGGGAGTCTCTCATTTGGTATCAACCACTGATTGAGGTTCGGGGTTTGAGCCTGTCACTTTTGGACTCTCGCTTGCTGAGGTGTTCCAGTGAGTGTCTCTGTAGATCTTAGAAAACTATTTATTGATTTAAGTCGTTGACGTGCTGTCTGATACCCGAACAGGGGATGAGCTGGAGATGTCACTGCTTTGGTCCTTTCACTATTAGTTGCTACTTCCTGGTGGATGTCAGGTGGTGCAATACCGGCTAAACAGTGTAATTTCTCAGTGATGTAGGGCTCAGACACCCCGTGATAATGCGGCATGTCTCATTAAGAGCCACGTCTACCATTTTAGTGTGGTGAGACGTGTTCCACACTGGGCATGCATACTCAGCAGCAGAGTAGCAAAGCGCAAGGGCAGATGTCTTCACTGGGTCTGGTTGTGATGCCCAGGTTGTGCCAGTCAGCTTTTGTATGATATTATTTCTAGTGCCCACTTTTTGCTTGAAATTCGGGCAGTGCTTCTTGTAGAAAACACAAATGAACTTCCATTTTAGACTTGGTTCCTAAGATATTTCATATTTGCAAATAAAGGTATTCCAAAATTTGAAAAAATCTAAATTTTTTCTTGTTCCAAACATTTTTGGATAAGGGATACTCAATCTGTCCTTTTCAACCACATCAGTGCATCTATTCTCATTTTAAAATTCAGGGGGGGGGGGGAGCCTGCAATTTGAAGAAGGTTGCTAGAGATATTTAACGAGCACTTACTGGATCTGGGGGAGTTCCAAGAAGATCGAGCCCCAAAAGCTTTTCTTCATGATTATCAGATGTTTTTACTTCATTTACTGCCATGGCTATTGAATGTCTGCTTTAAAACCAAAAATACATTCTCTAGTTAGAAACTGCAAGCCATACTGAAACAGTTCTATATAGGTTATAACCTGAAGAACACAGCAAAATTATACCTACTCATTTTGAAGTAATGCGGCTCCTGTAGACTTAGCACCATCAACAAACTTTTTAGGGCTTTCGCTCAGCAGAGGGTCAAACTTCAGGTAGAGAGATTGCTTTCTTAGAACAGACTCCTTGAACTACAAAAAAAATTATTGGAAATACATCAAAGTTTCCAGACAATCTTCCCTTAACATGGTGGTCTTGTTCATTTGTTGGCCACATCAGAAGCTATCTGACCAAGAGCAACATTTATGAAATTTAGATTATCTCCAAGTGCAGCGCACTTCTTTGAATAATGAGATAACTGATTAGAAGAGATCTTGTGTCCTAATGGCAGTGGCAATATAGCAAGGGCTGCACTCTAAAACATTCCAGGTAAAATTTTAAAGATGCAGGACTCTACTAACGCTTTCAGCTGTGTATGAATTGGAAGAAATGTAGTGTGGGATGGAAAATATTTCAGTCCTTTAATTTTCTACACAAAAACCCTCTTTGATTTCTAGAAGTGCATTTTTAAGCCAGGTTTTCTTTTTAGGTTAGTAGATGGTTTTCTGATCCTGAATCCCCTCATAAGGCAATACACTTTTTAATTCTCACACTGTTTTTAAAACTCACTGTCCTTTCTGCAGGTAGCCTTACAGATGTGTTTAGAAAGATCTGGCCTCTAAAGTAGTGGTTCCCAACCTTTTTTTGACCAGAGACCACTCTCCAACATTAGGGTTTAGCGAGACCAGTCACTCTCACTGCAACAGCGTAGTAATGGTGAGGTCGTGGACATTATAAAGTGGCATTATATAAAGATCAGCATCATGAACCTATAAAATATACATTATTCAACATTCTAAGCTAAAATGAGCAGAATTCCTAAAATTAAACACTAAACTCAACAATATTATCTAAGTTCTATGAAAAAGAGTCTGCAATAAAGCAATAGGGAAGAGAAATGAAACGCATGTAAAATCATACATTCATAGATTGACTACTTACTGAGGATGTTCCAAACTGTTCCAGATAATCTACTTCGAGGTCCATTTCTAGAACTAAAAAGGGAAAATAATGAATATGGAAACAAAATGATTTTTATAGCAAACTAGTGTTGAAATTAGTTTGCCATTTTGAGACATAAAGAGGCATGCCTTCCTGCAATATTTGTGACTTATATATACTGAGTGAAATAAAAGGCCTTTGATTATTTCCATCCTATCTTTAAACTGATTTAACTGGCAAGGATGTTAAAGCTTCAAATGAAAAGCATTTTAGAACACTGTTCTTATGACATTGAAAGGTAGCCAATGAGGCATGTTTATTAGGTCAAAGACAGCTTAAAAAAGAACATACAACAGAGATCTCTATTACTTTGGTTAAAACCTATTGGAATTCCTACTGCAGGCATGTGTGTTTCCAGCATTAAAGACTAGCGACAGTACAGATGCCACTCTAAACATTGATCAGTAAGCAACAATGAAAGGAAGATAACATTGAGATTGCTTACATATACTTAGGACTTTGGCTGGCTACTAGAAGACCACTAAATTGGCAGAAGTCGGAAAGCAAGTTTGAAGCTACAACAACATTTAGGATGAACATTATCTCAGGGTACTTATCTATAATTCTAAAAGGGCATGGAACCTGTGGGATTGCCGCTTTCTTAACCACTTTAAATTATTAGATTTGTAAATTAATTTRAATGTGAAAAGARATCGTCCACTTCAGTGGTGAATTTGATGCCRTAGGAACTGTCACTTYCCCTTCTTGTTTCTGCCTTGCTGTCATGTGCATCTTGCCAGCATATTGGGGGGGGGGGGGTAAGCCCCAAATACTATGGACTCTGGATCTGGTTTGAGGCCACCCTGCTTGATTAATATTATCACCATCCTGGCCCTGAAATTGTTCCAGATCTGCATAGTGAAACYGGTTTCTGCTCAATCAGTTCCAAACAAACCAAAGTCGTTAATGTAGATCAGTGGTTCCCAACCTTTTTTTGACCAGGGACCACTTGACGAGGGACCACTCTCCAACATGAATTATGAATCAGTTTTTGGTCAACTTTAGATTTGGTTTGGTTATTTGGGGTGCTGATTCAGAAAATTATATTGGATAGACCATATCATCTCTAGTTTCTGACACAGAACATATGTCATCCAGAACTGGATCAAAACGAACAAAATTGATTCCAACAAGTGTAAATACCCTTAGGGGAGAAAATGAAATGAACAGATATAAAACGGATGACACCAGAAGAAGAAAGTATTAATAAGCGACATGACAGCCATGCCTAAGTATATGAAAGGATGCCATGCTGAACATGGTGCCAGCTTGCTCTCTGCTCCTCCAGAGACAACATGAAGCAATGGATTCAAACTACAGGAAAACAGATATCACCTAAACTTTAGGAAAAACTTCCTGATGATAAGAGCTGCTTGACAGTGGAATATGTTGCCTTGAAGTGTGGTGGGGTTGCTTTCTTTCAAGGTTTGAAAACTCATCTGTAGTGGGTGCTTTGATTGTGTTTTTCTGCATATTAGGGCCCTTGTGATCTCTTCCAACTCTCTGATCTACATTAAGACCAGGTTTCACAGTTATGAGCACATTAGAATATCCAAATAGGCATTTCAGTTCAAGTACACTTACCATCAGAGGGTGATCTGAACTCTTCATTGTCTATATCCAAAAAGCTGCCTTCATTCATTACAGTTTCTGTCTGATGTGAAGGTTTCTGTGTTTTATCATTTGCAGTCTCGTGTAATAAAGAACTTTGTTGAACTAAAACCACAGGTGACGCAATATTTTGATTCATCTAAGAAGTGAAGAACATATTTGGGAAATTACAGATACCAGGTGTGGTTTAATTTTCTACCCTTCAACCGTGTGTCATTTTATATGAATGTAACTATCTCCATTATATCACTTACTTAAAGAAAAAGACTGAAATCGTGGACTCTTTCAAGACAGCAGTTTTTTTCTTGTTAATCTCTCATCTACACTTTAAAATTCATACAGTATAATACCACTTTAACTGCCATGGCTCAATGCTATGGCATTACAGGAGTTATAGTTTTACAAAGAGTGCTGGTACTTCACCAAACTACAACTCCCATAGTTCCAAAGTGTTGAGCCATAGCAGTTTAGTGATGTCAAACTTCACTAATACTGTAGTGTAGACACACCCTACAGTTAGCACTGGTGGATGGGGGGACAGGACAAAACCTAGACAGCATCCAATAAATCAACAAAGAAAAAAAAACGCATCTCGAGATGCTAAAAATACAGTTTTTGCCAAAAGGTTTAGCCTGTGAATGCTCTTCTGGCTATTACATTACTTTTGTTATTGTGTGCCTTTCAAGATAGTGACAAATCACTATACCACACTGGTTCCCAGGATATTCATTTACTTAGAAGCATTAATATATTTCCTAATTGCTTGTAACCTGAAAAGATCCACTTCAAATAAAAAATGACTCAGGAAATCCAAAACCACTTACTGACCAAATGATAGCATTTACAGCTTGCAAGCAGGTATTAGGAGAAAAAAAGATGGATGTATTTAGGTAAGATAAATTGTTGGTAACATCAAGAGATTTTTTAAAATGTAAGATGGCCAGCTTCCCTGGAAGTATTTGAAAGAGGGAAGATAACTTCCTCATTTAAGTCTGAAGCAAATATCTCTTTTCATTTTAAGATCTGCTCTTCTTTTTTCACAGAAGCCCCACATCAAGAGTTTACCTGTTGCCTGATATCTAAAGCATACTGTAGAATGATTTTGTTCCAAGAAGTGGCATTACATGATGCTTGTTTGTAGTCCCTGAATGCGCTCTTCACCAAGATGTCTTTCTTTTAAATAAAATCTGAAGGTTGCCTTGCAACTTAATATGGGCTGGTCTAGATGCCAATATTTCTACATAAATGTGATAAAACCGAAGGCTACAGTTCAAGTCGTTAAACTGTACTATATTTTGCTTTCTTCAAAGATTAGAACCTGTTGTTGGGAAATTTTGCATCAGGATTGGATAGTGTGGGCTTTGAAAGAGAAGCCTGGACTTCAAAGCTGCCAAGTTGTTGAAATGTCTCAATTTCTCCCAGCAATAAAAATGAGGTCCTCAGGCATGATTCTTGAGACCTTGAGATTTAAAGCCTCCCATGAAATTTTTGTAGCATATTCCTACACCCAAATTACTGGATACTAAATATAGCAATAAGAAATAATAAAAAAGAAACAAAGCAAAACAATACCAATTCACTTGAAGGTTCAGTCTGAGTTCCTACTTTTGTTATATCCTGTTTCTCAGTTGCAACAAGCTCTGCAATCTCTTCCCTATAAAAATAAGAAGGCTGTTATGTCCACATCTTCTAAGGACATCTGATTCAATATAGTTTTAAATTTGTTTTTGTACATCCAGGTTTTCTTTTGCCCTTTACCTATGGACATTTAGACAAAAGACGCTTCTCTTCACAAAAATAAGTCCTATAATTAAGCAGTTAATAAGCAGTCAATGCTTTAATACATCTCAGAAGAGAATATTAAGCAACTTGAAATTATTTATTTACAGATTTAGACCATATGCTATTTTCTATCGTATATGCAGTCTACTGTTATCAGGTACTTAGATTTAGACCAGGAACTAAAAACAGATTACTTTTCATGTGTTTTAAATGCATTCCTGAAGTCTGAAATTGCTCTACATGCACTTATGGAACACTTACTGTTTTTCAAATGTTGTTTCTACAGCCTTTGATTCCTCAGGGAAATTAAGCTGCTCTGCTTCAAGAAAATCTTCTTTGAACAGTCCACTGTCCTCTTGGGTATCATTCTTCTCAATGGTGAACACAGAACAGTTAGGTGAATTCTGTAATTTGGAACCACCTCCAAATGGGTTGAAGTTAGGATCAAACTTATCAAAATCGAAGTTATATGCTGCTTTGGGGACAGAATTATCTTCTGTTCCAGTGCTTGTTTGACCTTTGGCCTTTTCTTTTCTTTTACAATAACTGAAACTTCCAAAACTACCAGATTCTAGCACAGGCTGTGAGATATTATTTTCTATAGGTGCCATTGAAAACACCTCAGTTTTGCAAGCACTGTTTGAATCTTGTTTTATAGATTGATTGAGGCTTAATATTTGCTTTGAAGAATCACTATCTAGCAATGAGGTAAAGTCGAAAGAACTAGCTGGTTCATGGCTTGTTTCCTCAGACAGATTATCTTCAGTTGCAGGTTTCAGATAAACTTCACAAAGTGAAATAGAATTTCTATCCTTTGCTTCTTTTCTAGTGCAAACTTGCAAAAGAGACACTGCTTGATTTTTAGGGGAATTGAGGAGCCCACTGGTGCTCTTGAACGGATCAGGATCATTCAACACAGATGATTCAGGAGTGTGTGTTCTGTCTTTTTGTGGCATGACATCATTTGGAGAATCAAAGCTGAGCTCCTCTTTTACTAATTCAATATCTGTTATTAGTATTGGTTGATTCCTGTGGAAAGGCAGAACAATCACAAATTAATTAATTCAGCCTTCTAAAGATAGTTAAAATAAAAAGGACACACCTGGCTCTCAGATTAATTTTTGTTTCAGAGGGGACCATTGTTTATTAACCAAATCAAGGACATTCACTGTTGACTTCAGATAATATGTTCTCAGGTCTATGAAAGTCTCACAGTGTCTAGACTTTAATTTTAGGAACACTTGTCTTGAAGTAATTCAAGCTGAACTCAATGGGATTTACTTTCAAGTAAATGCACAATGGATCAGGTTACACTGCCCATTTGATTGCTTCTCAGTTACCAAACCCCTTGGATATTTATCAACAGAAATTAAAAACAATCAGCAAGAAGTATACACATTAAATCAAACAACTAAACAAGACAGAGTTCTTAATGATTATGTAACACCTAAAAAATTAAAATTGACTTAAATCTGCCACCAAAAGTATCAATGTAGTAATCATCAGATATAAAATGTCGCCAAAGTCATGCTTATTTTCATGGCTCCAAGAAAACTCATGCTTCCACAAGAATCTTCATAGAATTATAGAGTTGAAAGAGATCACATGTACCATCTAGTCTAATCCCTGCCATGCAAGAGAAGCACAATAAAAGCATCTGCGCCAGGTGGCCATCTAGCCTCTGTTTAAAAGCCTCCAAAAGGGGAGCCTCTGCCACACTGAGGCAGAAAGTGCCACTGTTCAACAGCTCTTATGGTCAAGAAGTTCTTCCTAGTGTTCACGTGGAATCTCCTTTCCTGTCATTTGTACCCAGTGCTCTGAGTCCTAGTCTCCAGTGAGCAGAAAACAAGTCTGCTCCCTCTCCCTTAAGACATCCTTTCACATATTTATTCATGGCTATCATGTCCCCTCTCAACCTCTTCCTCTGCAGGCTAAACATACCCAGCTCTTTAAGCTGCTCCTCATAGGGCATAGTTTCCAGACCTTTGATAGTTTCAGTTGCCCTCCTCTGGACACTCAGCTCCCTAGAGTGGAGTCAATCACCTTGTAATTGCATCTGGAAAACAACTGTCAACTGCAACTAGGCAAGAAAATTTAGTTTTTTTCCCCCATTAAAATAAAAGTAGCTGTGATATTAACACAACAATGCCTGTTTGTCTCCCAGGTGGCAAAAAACAAAACAAAAACAAAACACAAGGATGACTACAATCTTCACAGAGGAATGTAGTTTTCCTTTCTACACTTTAAATCAAGAGCAGGTATAGTATCGTGATCATTCATCGTGAAAAGAATGTTTTAGCAAATATCACTGCTGCTACTCATATGCTTAAAGTCCAGAAAAAACAGCTACCCAAAACCTAATTATCGTATTCTCTTCTAACAACCTGAAGACAGCTGTATGACAGCCCAACACTTCTTGGGATATCATTGACTATATTACAATCAATTTTGAATCTACCTGCATAAAATCAGTTTTACTCACTCAGCACTGACTGGAGGCAAGACAAGATCCTCTGGAATGCAGTCACCTACTAAGGGATAAGTTTCAGGTTTTTTCCTTATATCCGGACTCACGATTTTGCGAGTCTGAGGATCCCGAATAGGCGTTTGAAAAGTTACCTTAGGAGAGAAAATTTATCAGAGATCTGCAGAGCCAAAATACAGACACACAACACATATCTAGAAATTGATTTGGTATTTATGCCCTGCTTTCTACAGTTTAAAAAGGAGGCACTTGAAGCAATTTACAAAAAACAAACAAATGTCAATATACTGTATATTAATAATTAAAAGCAGGATTAAAACCCACACAATTGTAGAGTTGGATAATTATACAGTGTTTTACTCAGGAAAAGCAAATCTAAGACAAAATGGGGTGGCGTTCATAGAATAAGACTTTCCAGCTCTGATTACCTATATACTACTCAAGTATAAGCCAACCCAAATATAAGCCATCCAAGACCCTCACTCGAGTATAAGCCATGGGGGGCTTTTTTAGCCCTTAAAAAGGGGCTGAAAAACTCAGCTTATACTCAAGTATGTATGGTAATTTTGATTGAGGTACCACAACTCAGTGTTTAATTAGAATGGCACTGTAGTGAAGAAATCAGAAGTGCATTACACTGTAGGATTAATGCAGTTTGACGACACTTGAACTGTTATGATTCAAAATTTTGGAATCATTGGAGTTAAAGACTGGTGAGGCACCAGCACTCTTTAGCAGAGACTAAATACAATGTAGAACTAAAACTCCCATATATCCATAGAATTGGGCCCTGTTAATGAACTAGACAAGATCCTCAAGTGTAAAGATATATTATTGAGTGCTAGTTAGGCTGTGGACAATGAAGCCCACATGTGTGAAATGTGGGGCTGGAGAAGAATTCTACAGATAATGTGGACTACTGAAAAGACCACTCACTGGGTACCAGAGCAAATCACACCTGAGCTCTACCTAGAATACTGTTTTACTTTGGCCATATCATAAGAAATGGCTCAATGGAAAAGACAATAATGCCTGATGAGGTAGTAGGACAAGTTACGATACCTCCAAGACTATTCTATATTTTAGCTGTCACAGCATCAGAAACCTCCTCTCACTCCCACCACTGAAACACTGTTAAATATTTTGATACTAAATATTTACTGATACTAAAACTGTTGGTCTAGACAATAGTGATATTAAATATTAGCATACCTTCATAAACTTCATTATTTCTTTTGGTGGAACATTTTCTTTCTGTGATGGGCGAAGAATAGAAGGCCTGCCTGTGAGCTCTGGAGATGTGATGAGCATGGCACAGTTTTCAGCACCTATGCCATCACTAATATTTTCTCCCTTCAAGGCTTGCAGACTCATTCTATAAATGAGAAAAGGAATAAAACAAGCATATACGTAACAGTGTTGCTTTTAGAGTATTTGCACAAGGAGATATTTTATTTATTTACTGTGCTTTCTAGTCATGTGCATTCAGGACTTACATTTTATGTCAAAAAATCAGGGTTTTTTTCAGCCCATTATTTGGGGAGGGGTGGGACTTCACCATGCCCAGGCACTTTGGGCCTATGGGTACAGGCTTTGGGACTATGTGCCCAGGCCTGGCAGGACTTGCAGCCAAGCGTAAGTAAGGAGCACTCCTTACTTGGTGCTCGGCTGCAGGCCCTGCCAGGCCACACGCAATTGATCCAAAATGTAGGAACACCTACCTTTCATATCAATTGCATTTTTGTTTCAGGAGGGGCCTTTCTATTTCGTGCCATCCGAATGGACAGAACAAAAAAAAACCAACAAAAACAAAAAACGAATGAAACAAAGGGGATAAATTTCAGACCCAAGACTAGTAGTTACTAAGTCTTATTTCCCCCAAAGCGGGACCCAATGTGGCTTCCAAATATTATTTTTAGAATGATTTAAGAATAAATTGAAAAGGTATAAATGCCAAAAAGAGAAATAAAATATGCTCAATAAAAAGGCTCCTTGCTTATACACTGTACACTTACTTAAATAAAAATGTCTTTGTCTGCAAAGTGCAAGGAAAGCAGGGTCTAGCATTCCATTGAAGGGCATTCTTGAGGGTGAGAGCAGCTGCTGAGAAGTCTATCTCTTTGCTATGTTCTCACTAAAGAAGCCTGTAATGGTAGTGAGGCAGAGAGAAAGTCTTCACCTGAAGATCTTAAGTATCCTGGCAGGTTCAGATCAGAAGACACAGTCTTTCAGATAGTCTGGAGAGTATAAAGCCTATGTCCATCCTGGCATTTTTCACTTCTCCTAATCAACCCCAGCCATTGATGGGGATATTAGAAGTTATAGTCAACCCTGAATGTCTCAGATTCCCACTTCTGCTTTTAAAGAAAATTGATACTTGTAATTAAATGTGGAGTTATAATTTCATTTTTTTCCAGATACTGCTGTTTCACATTTTTCTTGGACTCATGGGGAAGTTCCTTTCCACACACACACCCACACACACACAAAGCCCCCCACACCTTTATTCAGCAAACAGTATCTATCTCTGGTTGCAAATAGCAGGACCTCATACTGCTTTCAGGAGTCTGGAACTTGGGCTGCTATGGGGGAATTACTACTTGTTATCTTACTGAGCTGGCAACCAAGACCGATTTCCCCCCAATCTTGCTACTTTGGCAGGTAACAAAATAAAGAAGCAACCCTAGATATATTTTTCCCAGAGGTAGACACTAAGTGGCGAGGAAGCCTTCTGATCCAAGGTGACTTGGGATAATGAAAACTGTTGTTGAAGCCCTGCCATCAGAAAGAGAAATCCTAGGATTGAATGACAGTAACAAGTAGCTTTTTTGAAACAGTAATTCATGGTGCACTTCTAATTCAGGATGAACAACAATGAAAATGGTTAAACTTAGCCTGTGGTGAGCTGAAAATGCAACCTTGACATGATGAGAAATTATTTTTACATCTTACATTTTATGTGTCTGAATGTGTTGTTTTGAAGCATAACACTGCTCCCAGAAACATCTGGGGCCATTATAAAATTTGGGGGTCTGAAAAATGTGAGAATCAGGTCCAAAAAAGAGAGATTAGGGATTACATGCAACCTGTGGACAACATCTCCACTTTCTGATTCAGTCCATTTCTAACTAACAGATACTTTAAGGCCATTTTATCAGAGGGTCTTCTTGGCAAGATCTGTTAAAAATGGCTTTGCCTTTCTCTCTCTCCCTGAGGCTGAGAGAGTATGATTTGCCCAAGGTTACTAAGTGGGTTTCCATAACTGAAAAGGGATTTAAACTCTGATTTCCAGAGTTGTAGTCCAACACTTCAGCCACTATATCACAAGGGCCATTGGAATGTGGCACACACTGACTCAAGGGCTCGCCTTTTTTGTCAATTTTTAAACAAGATAATTGGATGGAAACCTTTCAGGTGTGAAATCCCACTTTATGAGAAACATGGGATAAAGCAATTGTGTATTCCTTCATACCAGTGGGTTGGCCTAGACGGCTTTCAATCTATGGTTCTGTCCAGTCTTAGATAACAAAGGCATTCCCACGCAGAAAGAAGCATGGAGGATGGAGTCATTGAACAAATGGAGCTTGGTAACATTAAAGGAGTGTCAGGCTTGGACAAGACCATATCCTTAAGACATCACCTGGCCTGGCAACTTTTTTTTTACTTGTATTTACTCTGTTTTATACCCTGCCCTCTCTCTCTCTCATATTGAGGGACTCAGAGCGGCTAACACTCCACAGCAATTTGATACCATACAAATCTAAGACAATACAAAAACTGAAAATAAATATAAATCACAGTTCTAAACATTTTAACACATCATATAAAACTACAGTACATAATAAAACAATAATTAAAACCAGCTATAATTAAAAATCAGCTCCAACTTGTTTCCATAATGTCAAAATCCACTGTCATTTAACATGCTTGCTCATTGCCTTCCAGGACCGAGAGCAGGGCCTCCCCAGCAGATCGTAGGGCACGGGCAGGCTCATATTGGGAGATGTGGTTGGATAGTTTGGCCCTGAACCATTCAGGGCTTTAAAGTTTAAAACCAGCACCTGGAATTGCACTTGGAAGCAGACTGGTAACCAGTGGAGATGCCAAAACAGTGGGGTTGATGGCTCCTTGAAGGGCGCTCCAGTATGTAGCCTGGTCACAGATCTTTGAAGCAGCTGAAGCTTCCTAACGGTCTTTAAGGGCAGCCCTACGTAGAGCGCATTACAGCAACCCGGTCTAGATGTGACAGGGGCATGGACCACTGTGGCCAGATCACTTCTCAAGATATGGACTTGTTCTGGGAATCAGCCCTCCCGCATCAGGGGCTGAGAGAGGACATGATAGCTATTTTTAAATATCTGAAAGGGGGAGCACATTTGGGAGGGGGCAACCTTATTTTCTATTGATTTAGAGACTCGGGCACAGAACAATCAATTCAAATTGGAGGAAAAGAGATTTCACCTAAACATTAGGAAGACCTTTCTGATTGATGGTAAGAGCTGTTTGGTAGTGGAAAACTGCTTTGAGTCCCCCCGGGTGAGAAAGGTGGTATATAAATACTGTAAATAAAATAAATAAATAAATATTCTGCCTTGGAGTGTAATGTTTTGTCTCCTGCCTGTGACATCAGTTGGGAGCCCCTCCCCCAGCACCAACTGCTGCTCTGGGACCAGAGTGAAGAGAGCTTGGAAATCAGGAAATCAATTCCACCCTGTCTCCTGTGCTATGCTAATAATATAATATAAATACATATAATATTTATAATATTATAATGTAATACAATACTAATACTAATATGATATAACTATATATTTTATATTACACTAGCTGTACCCGCCACGCGTTGCTGTGGCCAATCTTCCCTCTTTCCTTTCTTCTTTCCCTCCTTCCTTCTCTGTCTCTTTCCTTCCTTCCCCCTTTTTCTTTCTTTTCTGCTGTCTCTTTCCTTCCTTCTCTCTTTTCTTCCCTCCCTCTTTCTCTACATCTTCCCCCCTTCCTTCGCTCCCTCTTTCCTTCCTTCTTTCCATTTTTTCTTTCCTTCTCTCCTTCCTTCCTTCCCTAACTTTCCTTCCTTCCCCATTTTTCTTTCACTTCCTCTTTCTCTCCTTTCTTCCTTCTCTACCTCTTTGCTTCCTTCTCTCTTTGCTTCCTTCTCCCTTTCCTTCTTTCTTTCTTCTCCCCTTCYCTCCCTCTTTCTTCCTTTTTTCTGTATTGTCATTTAGCTTTTGGGGGCTTTTTAAGTCCCTTTCTGCTGTGTTTTTCAGTGTTTTTTGTGAGTGAAGGACATACATTGGGTTGTTAGGTGTCTTGKGTCCAAATTTGGTGTCCATTCCTSCAGCGGTTTTTGTGTTATGTTAATCCCACAAACGAACGTAGATGTATTATCACTAATARTATTACAATATAATGGTATAATTTTAATTGGTATGTTAATTTATTGTTTAATGAATTATATAATGAGTTTTTAATGGTTATTAATGTTTTAAATGTAATTTTTGATTGTTTATACATTGATAGCACCATATGATGCTGTGTGAGGCCGCCCTGAGTCCCCCTTCGGGGGGAGAAGGGCAGGGTAGAAATGCATGAAATAAATAATAATAATTAAATGATAAATAGTACAATATAGTAATATATAATATTGATATTGTGCAATGCTAATAATACAATATAATATATTGTATGTATATTTAAGAAACTCGGAGTCCCCTTTGGGGTGATTTTTTGTTTGTCGTGTCAGGACCGACTTGAGAAACTGCAAGTTGCTTCTGGTGTGAGAGAATTGGCCGTCTGCAAGGATGTTGCCCAGGGGAAGCCCAGATGTTTTGATGTGGTACCATCCTTGTGTGAGGCTTCTCTCATGTCCCTGCATGAGGAGCTGGAGCTGAAAGAGGGAGCTCATCCGCGCGCTCTCCAGATTCGAACCTGCGACCTGTCGGTCTTCAGGTTTGGGGTGATAAGGGCAGCATATACATGTCATAAATAAATAAATAAGTCTCCTGCTCTAGAAATTTTTAAGCAGAGGCTGGATGGCCATCTGTTGGGAATGCTTTGGTTGTGTTTTTCCTGCATTTGGGGTGTTTGTGTGTAGTCTCTTCCAATCTAAGAGTCTACTATCCCATTTTTGTTTGGTCCCCTAGGTTTACTGAGCTGGAATTCTCCAAACGCAACAGACCTGAAAGAGATATCAGACAGCACTAGCAACTTAATATCATACCAATAAGAAGCAGTGAAAATCTTGATGCAAAGACTGCTCAGTATGAGCCTGTCTCCATGAAGAAGCAAACGAGGTACTAGCAGAGCGTGGACTAAGGGTTTTCAGGAGGGAGGGGGCGGGGTGGACGCTCAGGAGCAGGAATGCCTTGGGAAAGCGGGTTCCGGGCTCCCTCTCGCCTCCACTCCCTTCCCTCCACACTTCCCTCCCTATTTACCTACTTGGCTTCCGAGGACGCCCCACCGACTTTTCTGCTACTGCCACCAACTCTGAGGTATCACCTCTGACTCAACGCCTCGCCCGCTTCAAATCTTAACGGTTTCTGTCTCTACCAATGAAAAGACAGCGTGATGGGTTACGTCAGAAATCACGTGACGGCTCAGAGGCTCGCCCCTGAGCCTCAAGCAGAGGCGGCCGAGAGTGACTGACTACGCATGCGCATACTTGGAGAGGCGTTCCTTGGCAAATTTTCGAGCTTTTCGCTGGATCCAAAGTGATTGAACCCTGAGAATGGTTTTATTATTATTAAGGCTCAAATGGATCCGGAATTGAGTTGCCCAGCAGGGCCTGAATATCCTGAATAATTGATTCCCATATTCTGCTGCATGAGTTTTGTGAACTTCTACTCCCAGAAGCCTTGGCCAATGATCAAGGATGATGGCACCTGAATTCCAAATAACATTTCTCCCCACCTCCAAACTTTATAAAACATTGGGTTGTTGTAGGTTTTTTCGGGCTGTATGGCCTACGGATGTGAGAGCTGGACCTTAGGGAAGGCTGAGCGAAGGAAGATAGAGGCTTTTGAGCTGTGGTGTTGGAGGAAAGTTCTGAGAGTGCCTTGGACTGCGAGAAGATCCAACCAGTCCATCCTCCAGGAAATAAAGCCCGACTGCTCACTGGAGGGAAGGATACTAGAGACAAAGTTGAAGTCCTTTGGCCACATCATGAGGAGACAGCAAAGCCTAGAGAAGACAATGATGCTGGGGAAAGTGGAAGGCAAAAGGAAGAGGGGCCGACCAAGGGCAAGATGGATGGATGGCATCCTTGAAGTGACTGGACTGACCTTGAAGGAGCTGGGGGTGGGGACGGCCGACAGGGAGCTCTGGCGTGGGCTGGTCACAAAGAGTCGGAGATGACTGAATGAATGAACAACAAGGCTATGGTCTAGAGGCATTCTCGTGGCCCAACTATTTTCTAAGGCAGGGGTCCTCAAACTTTTTATACAGAGGGCCAGGCCACAGTCCTCAAACTGTTGGAGGGCCGGATTATAATTTGAAAAAAACATGAATGAATTCCTATGCACACTGCACATATCTTATTTGTAGTGCAAAAAAAAAACACTTAAAAGCAATACAATAATTAAAATGAAGAACAATTTTAACAAATATAAATTTATTAGTATTTCAATGGGAAGTGTGACCTGCTTTTGGCTGATGAGATAGGATTGTTGTGTGCTTTCGAGTCATTATAGACTTAGGTAGATACTGAGTGAGGGCCGGGTAAATGACATTGGAGGGCCACATCCGGCCCCCGGGCCTTAGTTTGAGGACCCCTGGTCTATGGCAAGCATCCTCAGAGGTAGTGAGGTCAGACCTCACTACCTTTGAGGATGCTTGCCATAGATGTAGGCAAAACGTCAGGAGAGAATGCCTCTAGACCATGGCCATACAGCCTGAAAAAACCTACAACAACCCAGTGATTCTGGCCATGAAAGCCTTCGACAATACATTTTTTAAAACATTGTATTGTCAAAGGCTTTCATGGCCGGAATCACTGGGGCCTTTCCACACAGCCATATAAACCAGAATGTCAAGGCAAAAGAACCCACGATATCTGCTTTGAACTGGGTTTTTTTATATTTCAGAACCAGTGGCACGTTTATAATAATAATAATAATAATAAAACTTTATTTGTATCCTGCTACCATCTCTCCGATTGGTGCGGCTTACATGAGGCCAAGCCTGCAGTACATCAATAAACGAAAGCAATAACAAATAATCAACACAAAACAGTTAAAATAAATCTCATAAACAAAAAATACACAATTAACAATAACAATAACATACAAGCATTTAAAACCTAAGACCGGGCCAAATGTAATAATTAAAATTTAAAATATTTAAAAATAATGCTGGGCATAAACAAGGTAGGGTATAACTAGGACAGAGTTTTCAAAGAAAGATGAGGGCGCACAGACAATCCTAAATCAATATTAAAGTGCATTTGAGGACATATTGCTAAGAGTTTTCCTTATTCTGGGAAGGCACACTGGAACAACCACATTTTCAGGCTCCTCCTAAAGACTGCCAGCGTTGAGACATGTCTTATGTCCTTGGGAAGTGAATTCCAGAGTCGGGGGGCCACAACCGAGAAGGTCCTCTCCCTCGTCCCCACCAATCGCGCCTGCGAAGGAGGTGGGAGCGCGAGCAGGACCTCTCCAGATGATCTAAGAGATCGTGTGGGTTTGTACACAGAAATGCGGTCATGAAGGTAGGCGGGTCCCAAACTGTTCAGGGCTTTGTAGGTAAGAACCTGCATCTTGAATTGGGACTAGAAAATGAACGGCAGCCAATGGAGCTCCTTGAACAGGAGGGTTGACCGCTCTCTGTAAGAAGCACCAGTTAGCAACCTGGCTGCCACCCGTTGTACCAACTGAAATTTCCGGGCCGTTTTCAAAGGCAGCCCCATGTAGAGTGCATTACAGTAATCCAATCTGGAGGTGACTAAGGCATGGACCACCCTGGCCAGATCTGACTTCACGAGGTACGGTCGCAGCTGGCACACGAGTCTTAATTGTGTAAAGGCCCTCCCGGCCACCGCTGACGCCTGAGCTTCAAGCGTAAGTGATGAGTCCAGGAGGACACCCAGACTGCGGACCTGTGACTTTAGGGGGAGTGCAACCTCGTCCAACACAGGTTGCCACCCTATACCCTGATCCGGTTTACGATCGACCAGTTACGATCGACTTCTGTCTTGTCAGGACTGATCCTCAGCTTGTTCCTCCTCCTCCAGACAGCCACAGCTAATTAATAATAATAATTTTAATTATTATTTGCTGTACGTATCTTATTTGTTTACTGTATTTGTTGGGCTTGGCCTCATGTTAGCCGCCCTGAGTCCCTGAGGGGAGATGGTGGCGGGTTATAGATAAAGTTTAATAATGATGATGATGATGATGATGATGATGATGATAATAATAATAATATATCACACAGTCCTAGACACTTGGGAAGTGTCCGACGTGTGATCAAATACAACAGCCAGCAGAATGATCTTGCCTGCTGTGGACTCATCTTGTTGTGTTTCAAATAATAATAATAATAATAAATAATGTATTGGACACTGAGTAATTGAAAAACTATAGCTAAATTTATTTATTTTTATTTATTTACTACATTTATATGCCGCCCTTCTCACCCTAAAGGGGGCTCAGAGCAGTTTACAAGGTGTATATACATACAATAAATGTACTATAGCAGGATGTCTTGCAAAAAACATAGTAATGTTGAAAGTATTATAAAGTGTGCAAAATTATATTATTCATTGAATGTTTTTAGTTGTGTTTGGTTGGTGGGTTTGTGCCTTTAATTGTTGGAATGCTTGTGGTTTGGGTCTTGTCAATTGGATGCAGGTGGGGCTCATTACTGTTGTTATTATAGTTTGCATCTGCCTGTAGTCTCTGGTCTGGTCTCTGGGTTGTTGTTTTTTTGTTTCTACTATGAAGCTGTAATAAAGTAAACTTATGCTGTAGTATTTTTATTTATATTTGATACTAGCGGTCCCCTGCCACGCGTTGCTGTTGCCCAGTCCCAAACTCAAGGTCAATGCCCACCAAACCCTTCCAGTGTGTTCTGTTGGTCATGGAAGTCCTGTATGCCATGTTTGGTTCAATTCCATCATTGGTGGAGTTCAGAATACTCTTGGATTGTAGGTGAACTATAAATCCCAGTAACTACAACTCCCAAATGTCAAGGTCTATTTTCCCAACTCCATCTGTGTTCATATTTGGGCATATGGAATATTCGTGCCAAGTTTGGTCCAGATCCATCATTGTTTGAGTCCACAGTGCTCTCTGGATGTGGGTGAACTACAATTCCCAAACTCAAGGTCTATGTCCACCAAACCCTTCCGGGTTTTTTCTTGGTCATGGGAGCCCTGTGTGCTAAGTTTGGCACAATTCCATCATTGGTTCAGAATGCTCTTTGATTGTAGGTAAACTATAAATCCCAGCAACGACAATTCCCAAATGACAAAATCAATTTTTGAGTGGAGGACATACATTGGGTTGTTGGGTGTCTTGTGTCCAAATTTGGTGTCAATTCCCCCAGTGGATTTTGAGTTCTGATGGTATCACAAATGAACAGTACATTCTTATTTATATATAAGAAAAGAATAAGATAAGAAGATCATCATCATAACTCTGCTGACAAGTAACCTTTGTCCATGTTTGTAGGATAGAAGCAATTAGGAAATGACATTTATAACCCAGGAACAAAAATCATGTTATATAGTTGATATTAAATATTTAACATTAAAATTTAACATTAAATATCTACACAATTTAATATTAAATATCCATCATATTTAATGTTCTATTAGTATTTAATAATAAGGAAATAACATTAAGCCTCCTATCATGCTTTCCCTTCATTCCCCATGCGTTTCCGGTGCGGTGGGAGGGGGGGATTTACGGTGCCTTGCGCGTTGAACTACACTTCCCAGCATGCAGCGCGCGGGACTTCCGGTCCCTGGGGCGGGGCCTTCTCTGCCGGGAAGGCCTCGGCGCCAGCGCGGCTCGCGTTCTTTGGAGGCATTCAGGCGGGCGAGTCGCTCTGCGGCGGGCTGCCCATGGAGAGCCCCGCGGCCACGTTCACGTTGGCCTACGTGGTCCTGGCTGTGTGCTTCGTGTTCCCCCCGAACGAGTTCCACTCGGCCGGCCTGACGGTGCCGAACCTGCTGGGCGGCTGGCTGGGCAGCGAGGACGCGGCCTTCGTGCAGTACCACCTGCGGCGGGGCACCGGCACCCTCCTGGCCCACGCCCTCCTGCCCCTCGGTGAGACACAAGGCCCAGGCAGGCAGGCAAAGGCCGGCCCCAGAGCCCCTCCTAGCCTCTTGCCTTCTTCAGGCCCCGAGAACTCCTTTGAGGCAGAGTCGTCTCCCTAGGCCCCTTCCACGCAGCTGAATCAAATCCCACATTTTCTGCTTTGAACTGGGATATAGGGCAGTGCGAACTCAGATAACCCAGTTCAAAGCAGAGCTTGTGAGGTTTTCTTCCTTGATGTTCTGGGTTATATGGCTGTGTGGAAGGGCCCTCAGTCGCCTCCCTTGTCCTGGGGCTTTTCCACACAGCCCAATATCCCAGAATATCTGCTTTGAACTAGGTTGTCTGAGTCCACACTCAGATAATGTGGGATTTTCTGCCTTGATGTTCTGGGATATAGGACTGTGTGGAAGGGCCCCTGATTTCCAATGTAAAGCAACAGAAGTACAGGCAGTCCTCAAGTTACGATCGAGATAGGTTCAGTAGGTTTGTTTTTAAGTTCAAGCTAGAAACAGGTACATATTAAGGGTTACTCCAACCATGTGTGTGTGTATGTTTTAGGTTTGGATAGCATAGGGAAGGTTCACACCCCTGTGGTGTTTCCTTTGCTGCCTGTGCCCCTTTTCAGAAGACTTCACCTAATTTTCTGTCCCTGTGATCATTGGGTTTTGGAAAAAATAAGCTTATTGCATAAATGTGATGTGGCGGCAAAAAAAGCCAATGGGATTTTGTCCAGCATCAATAGGAGTAGAGTGTCTAGATCCAGGGAAGTCATGCTACCCCTCTATTCCGCCTTGGTTAGACCCACCTGGAATATTGTGTCCAATTCTGGGCACCACAATAGAAGAGGGATATTGACGAGCTGGACTGTGTCCAGAGGAGGGCAACTAAAATGATCAGTCATCTGGAGAACAAGCCCTATGAAGAGCGGCTTAAAGAGCTGGGCATGTTTAGCCTGCAGAAGAGAAGGCTGAGAGGGGACATGATAGCCATGTATAAATATGTGAGGGGAAGTCACAGGGAGGAGGAAGCAAGCTTGTTTTCTGCTGCCCTGGAGACTAGGACACAGAACAATAGCTTCAAACTACAAGAAAGGAGATTCCATCTGAATATTAGGAAGAACTTCCTGACTGTGAGAGCTGTTCAGCAGTAGAACTCTCTGCCCCGGAGTGTGGTGGAGGCTCCTTCTTTGGAGGCTTTTAAACAGAGGCTGGATGGCCATCTGTCGGGGGTGCTTTGAATGCAATTTTTCTGCTTCTTGACGGGTTTGGACTGGATGGCCCATGAGGTCTCTTCCAACTCTGTGATTCTATGAAACAAGGATTGATGACAAAGCTTTATTTGAAATACCTTTCCCCGATCATAACCACACAATCAGGAGTGAATTTCTCTCACTTCCTGTTGTCTCACCCTTATTTGTAATGATGAATTGTTTGTAAGTCGAATGTTTGTTACTTGGAGACTGCTTGTACAGTGCATGGATTCATTTTGGACATTTGCCTTCGAATTGTTTGGAAACCTGTAACTGCATGGGCTCTGCAGCCATTTTTAACCAGGGGCAACAGAGCAGTGGCAGTCAAAAACCAGCTGTTTTCGGTTTCTTTTAGTTAGGTGTGGGGAGGGAGGCAGCTGATAGAAGGAAAAGGATCCCAGGAAGAGAGTTTTCTTAAGACCTCCCTTTTCTCTTGATTTGGAAGCAGAAAAGAGATTGAAGCACGAGGGGGTAAGACTCCAGTTGTAAATTGTAAAATTGTAATTAGGAAGAACTTCTTGGCTGTAAGAGCTGTTCAGCTATGGATCTCTCTGCTTTGGAGTGTGGTGGAAGCTCCTTCCTTGGAAGCTTCTAAATAGACTGGACGGCCATCTGTCGGGCTCCTTTTATTGTGCTTTTCTTGCATGGCAGGGGCTGGAATGGATGGACCATGAAATGTGGTCTTTTCCAACTCTATGATTCCATAATTCTCATAATGAAAATAATGGGGACACACCATATCTTATGAAAACCTTTTATTTACCGTATATATTTTAAAAAATACATGATTCATTGCTGATTTCACATAGACTCAGAACTACAACTCCCATGATTCCATAGCATTGAGGTATGGCAGTTATAATGTTGTCAAACTGTATTAACTGTATAGTGTGGATGCATCCTTAGGCATCCCAAGGAACATGACAGGGTTTTGAAGTGAATGTACATGTGGGAAGTAATACAGAGTTTTAGATGTTTACATGTTCAGTGTATATGAGACTTTAAATTACAATGATTGTTATATTAGACATGTGCTTATTCATTTCTGAGCTCTGTTTTGTTTTCTAAAATCACTTTCTTGTCCTTTACAGGCTATTATATTGGCATGTGTTTTGCAGCACCTGAGAAACAACTATGCAGTTTTCATCAGACTCCTGAAGGCTGGAAGTTCTTCTTCTTGATAGCAGTTCTTGCCCCTACATTTGCTGGTATCTTAGCATATTACTGGTCACAAAATGGTTGGAGTAACCACCCACTGGTCAAGACAATTTCCCTTTATGCCCTCCCACAGTCAGACTGGAAGGCAGTGGCTTCTTCTATCAACACAGAATTCAGGAGGATTGACAAGTTTGCTACTGGTGCCCCAGGAGCAAGAGTAGTTGTTACAGACACTTGGATCATGAAAGTGACTACATACTGCTTACACATTGCCCAGCAGCGGGACATCTTTCTGACAGTGGTGGAGTCCAGACAGCACGAACTCTTGCCAGATTCAAACATGCCTGCGCAGTTCCTCACAATCCGTGTTTCCAGTGTTAATCCTAATGTGAAAACTTTTGATATCCGGTAACATAGATAAACTTTTCTGTTTATTGAGTATTTGCAGTGTGCTTAATGTCAGGGGAAATTGATGTTTCACGACTGTATTCCATGATTGATCTCACAGTTAAAGCTGTATTTTATAGCAAACTAACTAAAACTCATATAACTGGGTTGATGTAAATATACTTTTCATACTAGTGAACTAGGACAGAGGCAAGAGTAACCAAAGGAATTGTAGTCAGTGGTCAGCATGTGGAATGGATGCTATGTTCTTCTGCAGCATTTACAGCTCTGCAGTATGTATGTTGGGAGACTTAGTGCAGGAGGCACATTCAAAGTACTCACTGCTGAATATATTTCTGAAGTGTTTCACTACCACAATTCAGATTCCCCATGAGATGTGAGAGAAACTGAGAGTTTTCTCAATAGAAGACTTGTACCGTTTATGTTTTCAGTCACTTGTTCTTTGTCTTGGACTGAGTCAAAGGTTTTAAGCACTGACAGATCATTACATGGAGTCACCTTCTCTGTGTGATTGTTATCACAGTGAGGACTAAATATGTTACTCTTTGCATATATTCATGATTTTAACTGTAATTTTTGTGTGCCGTTTTATTGTTTGATTTGTTAGTTGCTTTGAGAGTCTGCAAATAATCTCTTTTTACAGTCTGTAATTCCCTTTAAGACTGCCAGACAAATGAGTCTTTCCTATCTATTTAAAAGTAATATGGGGGCTTAAAAATAGATTTTAAATATTCCATTGCTCCTACATCTTTCCTTATTCCAGTCTATAGAAGCCTAACAAGTACCCTATACTATTTACTCTAAAATGCAAAGCATTATGGAGCCTTACCTCACAATGTCGCAAGTGCGATGTTTTCCCATGTTTAGTTCATGGGTTTCTGATGCTTCCAGTAAAAAAAAAGAAGAGTAAACACCTTCAGTATGTTTCAGTGTCAAATACTTTTTCCTCTAAGGAAGCTTGGTTGTTTTAATGTCTTTTTTGTGATAGCAGGGTGTCTTTTTTTTGTGATAGTAAGTTGTCTCCTGCCTGGGGGAATCCTCCCAACAAAGGATTCCCCCAAGAAGTAGGCAGCCAGCCAGCTGTCAGGCTATTCAGTGCTAATCAAGCTGGCCAATTGCAATTCCCACTTGGCTCCAACAGACAAGAGTTCTTTCTCCCACCCTGGACATTCCACAGATATATAAACCCCACTTGCCCAGTTTCCAACAGACCCTTCAACCTCTGAGGATTTCTGCCGTAGATGTGGACGAAATGTCAGCAGAGAATGCTTCTGGAGCATAGCCATACAACCCAGAAAAGAAAAAAGAGTTTTTTTTTGTTTACTGTGGAGTGTGTGGTTATTTATATTTGGAATGATTTTCCTACTTGGGAAAATACTTATTTTGACTAAAACGCAATTTTGAGAAACACATGTCTTGGGTTTCTAGGAAATGGATGATCTATATGAGCAGAAATTGGATTCAAATAAATACTTTTATGCACTGTGTCTCGGACCACCCCCCATCTCCCCTTTAGGCAGGTTGTCATTTTTTGCCAAATTTAGTAAAACTGTCATTTAACATTATCAGTTGGTGTTTTAAGGAAATGGATGTGATATAGTCTATGGCAGCCATTTTTTGAAATGTCAATGTCTTATTTTTTGTTGGTTACCATGGATGTTGTCTCAAATTCCAAATAAATTCAGTAGTTTGAAGGCAGCTGATTTAAAGCATTTTAACACAGTTGCTTTATTAGGTTGTAAGTTTTTCGGGCTGTATGGCTAAGTTCTAGAAGCATTCTCTTCTGACATTTTGCCTGCATCTATGGTAGACTATCTCATATCGTCAGTCCTTTCTATTAGTCTTATTTATGGAAATAAGCAATATACAGTAGACTCTCAGTTAACAGGAGCTCACGTGTCTGGAGCTCTCAAGCAACTGGCAAAAAATCAACAAAATAATATTGCATTCACAATGCTGTTTTTATAATACAGTATAACAGCACTTAAAGTTTAGCTTGTCTTTATTTGTCTTTATTTGCTTTTAATTACTGCATTACAACAGTAATTCCAAGTCAATACTTAGTTTATGGTATAGTATTAGGCCTATTTTTAATAATAAATCTCAGAATAATTGAACGACATTTTTCTGGCATCTACTACTCCCCATGGATGGTGGTTAACTGAATCTACTATATTCAAGTTTGTGGAGGCACAGTGAAGGCTCCTTAGGTAAAAATGTGTTAGTTGTATAAACGTTCATTTGAACCCAGTTGTATTTAATTACCTTGTGGCTTGTAAAGTTTGGTTTTACTGTTTTTTTTTCTCTGCATATCAAAATAGTATAACAAGTCATGCTACCTTTTTATATTTGCATAAATGGCTTGTCTTGACATTATGTCTTAGGCTTAATTCATCAGAATATGGGGAACTACGAGAGAAGCTTCATGCTCCCATCCGTAATGCTGCTAATGTGGTAATTCATCAGAGTCTCAGTGACTTGTTTCTGGAAACCTTTACCTCTCTTGTAGAGATGAATCAGACATACTCTGTTCCAAGCAATCAGGTACGTCGTATTCAAGACTAAGATTAATACTGATGTCTCACATTGTTGTTTTCTGGGCAGAATTTTTTCAGCCGTCCTCAGGCTGAGAGAATGTGACTTGTCCAACGTCACTCAATGGGTTTACATGACTGAACAAAGATTTGAAACCTAGTCTTCTGGTTTAATACTCAAGCCAGCAGTAGTCACTGTGTATAACATGTTATTTTCATATAGAAGGTTCTACATGCATTTCTAAACTATTAACAGCCTTGGTTAGCAGTGATGTAGGAAACAGAATTAGTGCATTTATCACTCAATCTAGAGTCACTATCAAAATATATACTGTATATACTGGACTTTTTCAGCCCCCTTATTAGGCTGAAAAAGCCCCCCTTGGCTTATACTCAAGTCAAAGTAATCTATTATTTTACTCTGTTGTTATAATAATAATAATAATAATAATATAATATAATAAAGTAAAATAATGTAAATGTAATAATAATAATAGTAATAATAATAATAATAATTATTATTATTATTACTATTATTATTATTACATTTACATTATTTTACTTTATTATTTTATTACATCTATTATTTTACTCTATTTTTATTATTGCATTTATTATTTTAGTCTATCATTATTTTAATTACATTTATTATTTTACTCTGTTATTGAAAAGATATGTAAGCACATCTACATTGAAGAAAGTTAGAATAATGGTTTAATCACAGCTGGACAGTCTTGTCTTACTGTTTTATGTAAATATTCAAAGGGCCTGAGTCCAGGAATTGTGGGAGTTGAAGTCCAAAACACCTGGAGGGCCGAAGTTTGCCCATGCCTGTTCTACAAGGATGTTTTACTATGCTATTGTTTATAATTATATTTATGTATCCATGGATTTGGATATCTATACATGCAATTCTATATTATTAAGGTCCTGGATACCAACTCCAGCAGATAGAGTTCAGTGTATTTGTACTGTATGGACTGCTTTTGATTCAGGAGGGAATGCTTAAATTGTGATAGCCATTTATGCTGAAAGCAGTCAGAAAAATGATAGCTCTTTTTCATTCTTGGGTGACTGTCCGCTTCTTATATTGTAGGGAATGTACATAGGTTGTTTGTGCTGCTCTATAAAGTGTTAAAGGCATTAATCGCATTGTAGATGTAATACTAATTATTTTGCTTTTCTTTTCCGCCTTCTGCATTTCTTCCTGGATGACTCAAGGAGTTAGACCCATGCATTGGATGTATGCAGACGAATGCAAATATCAAACTTGTGAAAAGCTGTCAAGAACCAAACGAAGGGGAGTGTCAACAATGCTACTGCCGCCCTATGTGGTGCCTTACTTGCATGGGCAAATGGTTTGCCAGCCGACAGGATCAGCAGCACCCAGAGACGTGGCTATCAAGTCATGTGCCTTGTCCCACCTGCCGAGCCAAATTCTGCATTTTGGATGTCTGTGTTATACGATAAATTCGATAAATTCGTTCTGAGACATTCTTAAATCTGAATTGAAATGTGGGTGTACCTTAAAAGTAGAAGTACATAGCAACTATTTATTACATTTGATTTTTTTTCTTCCTGGGGATGTTTAGTTTTGTTCTCTTTAAACTCAGATCTAAGTATGGTAGTCCATTGGTTCCCTCAGCCTTGAAAGATTTGTAACTCTCTTCTGTTTTAGGAAAGAGTGAAATCACATCAGACTTCTACTAAAGTTCCAGTAGAAATCAGTGAGCTGTACATTATACATAGGCGATGCACTGTTTTAAATATAAATGTTCTGAAATGCAATTTGATTTCTAAATCAGTCTTAATGGGATGACTGCCCTTCCTGATTTTAATTCAGAAATCACCCCGTGTTCAGCAAGAATCACAATTCATATTATCATTCTTGTAGGGAATTCAGTCTCAAATACCTGAACTATCTTTATATAGAATTTTCTTGTATTCTGCCTTTTGAAATTGTTCTTAAGTTTAGGGTTTTTTTTAAATTTACTGGATGGAATCCAGATTAGTTTACTTGAAATAGCTCCAGTAGAAATAAATGAGACTTTTATTTCAGTAGGCAACAAATAACTGGAATAACAGATTTGAGCTAGAATTGAATCATTGAGTCAGTTGCTGACCTCAATGGACAGTTGGTTCAGCGGGTCTGTTATGGTTGGGAATAGCAGCTTATGCCAAAGTTCAGTTAGTCCACTCAGAATAAATGCCATAGAATTCAATGGAACTTACTCACAAATATGGATTGCAGCCTTATTCTGGTTTGAAGTCACTAATTCAAAAATGTGTACCACAATTCACCCACAATTCTTAGTATTAGTTGTAAAATACGACGAACAAATGACACACACACACATATAAACCAGGGCGATGAGGAGACTAAAGTAGTGGTGGTGCGTGTAGCTGAAGCTTGACTTTTAAAATGTTTTTACTTGAGGCACTTCGTTTTAAAAAAGGAGTAACTCATTACCCCAACAAGAATCCTTTCTTCCAATATCTTCAGTTGCCTTCTTCTGAGGTAAATTTTCTTCTCAATAAGTGGGCCAGAGTCTTAATTATAAAGAACCGATCAAGGAAATATTTATTTAAGGATTCACAGGTACACAACGTTTGATGGTTATTCTGTATTCCTTTAAATGTTGTTACAGTTGACTTTAGTTAGACAGTTTCCAATATAACTCTCAGTATGGCTTTTACTTCCACCAGACTGGTTTTATACTTATTTCACTGCAAAGTATCTTTCTTTCCTTAACTGACACTTCAAGGCACTGACTTGCCTTTTTCTCCCTTTAGCTATCCCCACTGAAGTTATGGATTTCTACTGGGGTTTCTTTTCCCCTTAGCTCATGAGCTAATTACTAATTTAAACAGGTCGAATTGACTCTCTAAACACACAGGCTGAAGACTTAAACCTCTTGGTTTGGTATCTCCACACATCATAATCCAACTTCCACTTTGGTCCACTGACTCAAAGAAACTGACTCTTTTAAAATGCCTGTGCCTGCCAAGTGGCAGTTAGCTCCGCCCCTTTGGCTCCTCTAACTTGGATACATTCTAACAGCCGGTTCCATCCTTGTGGCAACGCCTCAGCTCAGGCGACACATCGGCTGGCCTGCACCTATCATATCCCAACATCAATAAACACATTTAAAACATACATTATAATCAGCTATTTCATTACAGTAGTTTAATAATAATAAAAAGTTATTAGCCATAGTAGTGTTTTTTGCATTCATGATTCAGGAGCTTTTTGATCATTATCTCAAGATGAGGCATATGTGTGAGACAGTATTCATTGCATCTTTGCGTCTTTGTCATGCAAATGCTGTCCCAAAACTTTTGCTAGCAGTTCATAGTATTTTGGACTGTTTTCACAGCATTATTTAAAGAACTATTCTACCCTACTTTGATTTAACTGATTTTTAAAAATAATATTACTGTTTTAGGATCACCTTTAATCTGTATCAGGTTACTGTTTGCAAAATATACGGGACTGATTATCTGTATTTTCTACGTACCAACACTCCATTAAAGTGGACAAAAGTATACGTTTATAAATCCTGCAGTTAATATTTGCTTGGGGTTATACCAAATTCATATATTTCACAATGCTCCACTCTTTGATTCAGACAGATTCATAGTCCCTGTGAAAATCCATTCTTATGTTTCTGTCCCATTTGAACTTGTTTAAAAGCAAGCCACCTTGCTCTAGAAATGTGTAGAAGGCTGAATTGCAAAACATTGATTCCGAAAGAATGCCAACCTGGCAAGACCTGGGAGTGTGAGGAGTGATCTCTTCCTCCTGACTTGATGCCCTATCTATTGTTTGGGTGTGTATTTGAAACTGGGTGGCCAGAACAGCATAAGGGCTCTTTTGTCATTGCCCACCCTGCTGCTCAGCAGTCTCCCCTGCTGAGCTAGCCAGGAATTATGTACAGAATGGTCATTATTTTTTCACAGCTGTAAAACCCTTCATTTTCTCAACCTAATATGGTGGGCCCTTGATAGGGAAATTTGAGTAAGAAGAGAATTAGTGGTTAGGAAATCTGTAGAGGTGGCTTGAAGGTTAGGTACAGAAATAAATTCCTTGGACAGTGTACACTTATACTGTGTTAAGTAGTTTACCCAGATAACACCATTGTCATATGGACTCAGCCACTCTACTTTTGTATAGATTTTTTGGCTTTTAAAGCTTGATCATGTAATTCTTTTGTGTGTCTGAAAAGTCACCAGCAAGATGCAATTTCATAATGTTTACACCATACCTGTTATAACTAAACAAGAACCTTCTTCCTATATATGCAGAGAGTTTATAGCTGTTCTTTGGTTCTGATTTGAGGATAGTGAAAGATCTCTATACTCATATTGTAACTGACTTCAACAATGTTTTGTTATTTTATGAAAAATCTTATAATTTTTATTTGCAAGCACAGAATTACATCTTTTTGGTGGATGGACAGGGAAATGGACATAGGTATGACAAAAATGAAAGATTTGTATTTCCCATTTCATTCATACAACACAAGTTGTTGTAATCCATGTATTTTACAATAAAACTTTATTTCCATAGCTCTTCATTGTCTCTCTTTGCTACACTGCTGCAATGGGTAGTGTACTTTCTTCAGTACATCTCACAACAGCTTGGACTGGTGTTGGCATCATCTCCTCATCTACTTCTTGCAGAGAAATGGATGCTCTCCAGATGTGGTTGGACTGCAGTTCCTATCAGCCATATCCAGAGTAGCCAGCTGGAAGTTAGAATCCAACAATGAAAGGTTAGGAGAGGTGCATCATTCATAAACAGCCAGTCAACTTACCCAGCTATGAAAACAAGTTCTATACTTTTTTGATCTTAGTTCAGTTCTTTACAAATATCAAATTATTGCACACTTTTGGAGGCACTCTGCCATTCCTTCCATAGATCTACCTATAACAGATATTTGGTCTGTCAAGAATTAGAAAATATAGTCCCGTCTTTAACAGTACAGGCAGTTCCCAAGTTACAAACAAGATATGTTCTGTAGGTTTGTTCATACAAATACACATACTTTGGATAGCATAGGGAAAGGTGAACACCCCTGTGATGTTGGTTTTGCTGTCTCTGCCTCTTCAGAAGATTTCAGCTCACTTTCTGTCCCTGGGATAATTGTATTTTGAAAAAACTGGCTTGTGAAAATGAGGATTGGAGATATAGCTTCAGGGGAGACACCTTTCCCCCATGATAACTCTTTCAGGAATGTATTTCCCTTCTGAGAGGTAGATTTCTCTCACTTCCTGTTGTCTCACCCCTTTTCTTAACTAGGAATTGTTTGTAAGTCGGATATTTGTTACTCGCGGACTGCCTGTACAATCTAAGAAGATTTGTGTTGATATCTAAAGCAACAAAAATTCAGGCATTGTTTTCAACGTATTGCTGCCAACCTAAACAACATTTTCAGTCGGGACCTTATCACATTAAGTGAGGGATTCACCACATATTGTGGCGAATCCGTAGGTTCTTGATGGACCCGATACTCTGCATCGCCCGACTTACTGCCGGCCCCATCCAATGGGGGAAGCAAAAGCAACACGGGAAGCCTTCCATTCTGTCGTGGCGGCATACACTGCTTCCTTTCCCCTTTCACTGTGGAACCTGACCGGAAGTCAATGTTTATTGTGTAATGGAATCCATGGCGAAAGGGACGAGGAAGTGGTGTACGACAGGCAAATCAGCCTTTATGGTTGTCAGTCTCCACATTTCTAGACACCTTTCCCCCATTATAACGCATTCAGGAGTGAATTTCCCTGACAAACAAATTCAGCCTAAGAACAAACCTGCAGCACTTATCTTGTTCATAACTTGGGGACTGCCTGTATACGGTTCTGCCAACATGGTCCTCCGCCATCAATTCAACTGGACTGGCCATGTTGATGCCTGACCACCGTCTCCCAAAGCAGTTGCTCTACTCCGAACTCGAACGGAAAATGGAATGTTGGTGGGCAGGAAAAGAGATTTAAAGATGGGCTAAAGCCAACCTTAAAAACTGGCATAGACACCAAGAACCGGGAAGCCCTGGCCCTTAAGCGCTCCAGTTGGAGGTCAGCTGTGACCAGCATTGCTGCAGAATTTGAAGAGGCATGAATGGAGGGCGAAAGAAACTTGCCAAGAGGAAGGTGCATCAAGCCAACACCGACCGGGACCACCTTCCACCTGGAAACCAATGCCCTCACTGCGGGAGAAGATGCAGATCAAGAATAGGGCTCCATAGTCATCTACAGACCCACCGCCAGGATACTACACTTGGAGGACCATCATCCTCAGACTAAGAGGGATCGCCTAAGTAAGTAAGTCTGCCAGCATTGTCCATTAAAAAAGAAAATAAACCCACCACAAAATCTCATTAAATCCTGGAATTCCCACATCTCGCACTGGGATGCCTTAGTCCCACCCCTTGTCCTTTCCTTCCCAAAATCCTTCCTTCAATCTGGGGCATAGGTCTCAAGACCTCTATACTTGATCAGTGGGTTTAGTATATGGCTACTCTACCCACTCAGTTTTTACATGTAAGGCAGTTCTAGGAGACCCTGGTGGCGTGGTGGTTAAACCACTGAGCTGTTGAACTTGCTTACCAAAAGTTTGCAGGTTCAAAATTGGAGAGCGGTGTGAGTTCCTGCTGTTAACCCCAGCTTCTGCCAATGTAGCAGTTCAAAAACATGCAAATGTGAGTAGATCAATAGGTACTTTTCCAGCGGGAAGGTAACAGTGCTCCATGCAGTCATGATCTTGGGGGTGTCTATGGACACCACTGGCTCTTTGGCTCTGAAATGGAGATGAGCACCAACTCCACAGAATCGGACACGACTGGACCTAATGTGAGAGGAAAACTTTACCTACTTTACTTTACCAGGCAGGCCTAAAAAAGTATCAATTCTGCAGGATGCCCACTAGCGCGAAAGTCTATATATACAACCAAACACTTCTGATGTCTACTTCTGGTTCTTCAGGGCCCTTCCATACTGCCATACAAACCAGAATATGTAGGCAGATAATCCACAATATCTGCTTTGAATTGGATTATCTAAGGCCACTTCCACACAGTTGTATAAAATCCACACAGTTCAATGTGGAGTTTATACAGCTGAAGGGGCCTAAGTATAAAGGCCCTTCCACACAGCCCTATATTCCAGAATAGCAAGGCAGAAACTCCCACAGTATCTGCTTTGAAGTGAGTTCTCTGAGTCCACACTCCCATACATCACAGTTCAAAGCAGATAATGTGGGTTTTTTTTCCAGCTGTGTGGAAGGGGCCTAAGGGTCTGACTATTTCAGAGTTTCCCGCCTTTGCGATTTCGCGCGAAAGGGGCGTAGCCATCCAAGGAGGGCAAGCAGAGCGCGCGTTTGGGACAGCAGGGGCGGGGCTCCAAGACTTGGGACAGTCCACTGGCAGCACCTCATAGGGGACACACATTATGGAGGTCAATGTAAATAGGGGGAGATGTGAAGAGGCCTTCATTCCCAGCAGACGAACATGTAAGATAAAGTTCGGTGGTAACGTTCGGACCGCTGTGTCTCCCTGGAGTCGCCTTTATCCCCGTTCGCCCCCCTCTTCAGGTTGTGCATGGTACACCCCGCCTCCGTTTGGCGCGCGAGACGGAGAGGGCGGGAGAGGCTGTTCGCGGAAGCGCCTGTTCAGTTCGGGGCGGGACTCTGGCCGAGGCGCGCGCCTTCCTTTGTGTCCTTCGAAGAGCGAGAGAGAAAGAGAGGCCGGGTCGTCATGTCGTTCCGCCAGCGGAGCCCCCTCAGCGGCCGCACTCGCAGCAGGTGCGTCTCTCTCGCCTTCCGAGGGAAGCGGCGGCCCAGGCCCCTCCGCCTCCCGGGGCCGCGCTTTGTTTTCACTTCGGGAGGGGACCAGGCCTCGCGGGGCGTCAGGGAAGGTTGGCGCCTCCAAACGGGCGCTGCCGCTCCTCTCTGGCGGGGGAAGCCGTGGGGACGACCTAGAGGCCCCCTAGAACCATATCTCTAAACATCAAATAGGCCAAGCGCGGAAATCAAGGGGAACCGAAGCCAGTTTTGCCCAACTCCTCAGACAAAAATATATAAAAACAAGATAGGCTTCATCTATACTGCCCTATAGGTCAGGATCTGATCCCAGATCATTTGGCAGTGGAGACTCATATAATCCGGTTCAGAGCAGATCACCTGGGATCAGATCTTGGGATACAGGGCATAGTTTGTATGTAGGTTTGCAATCTGAAAAGGCTCTTTACAACAGGAGGACAAAAGCTCAGTGTCGTCGCCCCTCCACATGTGATCCATAAATCCACATATATATAGATTTGATATATATGGACTTGATGAAAAAATGTTCTCTCTAGCCATCATCATGTCGTTCCGCCAGGGCCTTTTCCGTGGTGGCCCCCCGACTCTGGAACACCCTCCCCAAAGATCTTAGACAGGCCCCTACATTGGCAGTCTTCAGAAAGAACTTGAAGACCTAACTGTTCCGATGTGCCTTCCCTGAATAGGAAATCTCCAATACCAAGTCCCATAAGCACTTTATTAGAATTATGATTGCCGCACACTGCACTTGCCCTATAAGCCTTACATATTACCTGTCACATCAGCACTTTTAATCCTGTACCCTTTACTCTGGCCCGGCCCAGTTTTACTGCGTTTTGGTGTATTATTTATTGCTTGTTGTTTTGTTGTTTTAATATTGCTTTAACTGTCTTTAATTTTGCTTTAAGTGTATTGTTATGTTGTGTATTGAGGCCTTGGCCTTTGTAAGCCGCATCGAGTCCTTCGGGAGATGCTAGCGGGGTACTAATAAAGTTTAATAATAATAATCTCTAGGTCCTCCAGCGTAACTTTATGGTCAGTTGCTTCCAGTTTTGGAGGAGCTTTTCATACGACTGACACACTTTTTAGACATGTCTCATGTCGTGACACAGTAATTCAGTTTTCCTATCAAACTTGAGCCCCCCCCCCCCGTGGCACAATCGGTTTAACTGCTGAACTTGCTGACCAAAAGGTTGGTGGTTCGAGACCAGGGAGCAGGGTGAGCTGCTGTTAGATTCAGCTTTTGCTAACCTAGCAGTTCGAAAACATGCAAATATGAGTATTTTTATTTATTTACGGCATTTATATGCCGCCTTTCTCACCCCGAAGGGGACTCAGAGCAGCTTACAAGATATATTTTCATACAATATCTTATATTATTAGCATAGTACAATATCAGTATTATATATTACTATATTGCACTATACCGTTATATTGTAATATTATTAGTAATATTACATGTAATGTAGATTATATAAAATTATAATTATAATATTGTATTATTACTACTATTATATTGTATTATATTATAATATTATAAATATAGTAGATCAATAAGTACCACTTCGGTGGGAAGGTAATATAGCTCCATGCAGTCATGCTGGCAACATGACCTTGGAGGTGTCTACGGACAACGTTGGTTCTTTGGCTTAGAAATTGAGATGAGCACCAACCCCCAGAGTCGGACGAGGCTATACTTAATGCCAGGGGGAAAGCTTTACCTTTTTTATTAAACCAAAGGTTAAAACAATATCTTGTAAGACGTACGGACACATACCAAAATTGTAATGAGGAAATATGTGGGAACACAGCATATTTTATGAAAACCTTTCATAGATATTTTAAAAAAGAAAACATTGCACGGTAACATACATTTCCAAGAGTTTTGTCATTTTTTGTTATGTTTGCGTAATACGCCGACAGACGCTAATGGTGACACAATTTGGAAAGCTCTGGTTTAGGCCCTCCAGTCGAAGTCAACAAAGAGGCATTCTGGAAGATCTCTAAATTCCTAGGAAGGTGTTCTCTTTGGTAAAACCAACCAAAACCTTTCACCTAAATTTGGAGAGTTTTCATCTAAATTTGAGGGAGGGGTTTTTTTACGTCCCAACTCCAGCAAATGTTGCGGCTACTGTAGTCTTTCTGCAGGATGGGTGGTAGGAATTGCCCTGCTTGTCATATTGTCTCTTTGGTGTCCTTTTTTGTTGTCATCAGTGTATATATTCCAAATATGTAATTATCATAAGACATTTGGGCGCTCAAAATAAGACCATTTTACATATTTTAAAATAGAAATGACTAGCAGTGTAAAAGTGATTTTAAAATTCTGTAATCGTTTTTTTTTTTAAACAGAAAAGAAACTTAAAAAGTAATGTTAAAACTTGCCTATAACAAGCTATCAAAAAGCTTACAAGTTCCATATTACTTTATTGTTGGTTTGGATTATTTTTAGGTAATGTTAACATCAATATAATTTAGTTCTTTTCATTTTAAATTGCTCATGGATCGCCTGGAGGTCACTCAGTGAACTAATGGTGCTGATTATATACTTGAAAGCACCCCACCCCCCAAAAAAAAAAATCTCTGGAGGATGAAACCACTGAGAGAGGAAGCAGAAAGGTAAAGGGAAAATTGCTCAGTTCATGGCTCTCGTTGAATCCTGCACAATTGGGTGCCATATGTTGTTAAGAGGTATCCTTTAGATAGGGAGTTCAGCCTTTTAAGTGTGCTAAAAGTATAACAAAGTGGCAGTGTTTTTGTATTTTTCACTTTCTGATGGTATCTTCACAGACCACCAGCTCGTTGGACTCAAGGGAGGAAGCGTGATGCTGATGGGAATCACAGAAGTGTGTACGATTCAAGCCTGCCCACTGACGAAGACGATGATGATACATTCAAGCTATTAAACAGCAGGCCAGATAGGTAGAGTTGTGTTCCCAAAACATGAAGCAATTATATATTGATATTTGTAGCTTAACTCAAAAGATGAAATGGAAAATTGTTTATGTACTGCAGGTTTTGTTATCTTAGGATAACAGACTGCTTCCCTTAAATAATAACATATGGTATGACACAGTAGCTGTGGTTTTCATTATTCATATCCGAGAAACGATGTCTCCTCTAAGTGTTTTTTAATTTGTCTTGCATGACTGGTTTTCTTGGGCTAGGAGTCTTTCATTTCAACAGGATTCACTATTATTTGCAATGCGGTCTGGGAATATATTCCCTGCAGATCCAGGAGACAGACTAATCATTTTGCTTGTATAATACTTAAACTAGAACCGTGTGGCGTTGTTAGTACAAGATACATCTTGATATTACATATTATGATATAGATGCCAATCAGGTTTAAATTTGATCTTGGTTTACAGTTTCACAACGCCAGAAGGACATAAACCCCATTCAAGGTGTGCGGATTGGGGAACTGCAGTTGAAGAAGATGAAATGAGGACTAACGTTAATAAAGAAATGGCAAGGTATGGGTGGAGTAATTTTAAAAATCTTGTCAGGTGTGCTGGAAATACTCTGGCTGCTTGCTGCTGTAGATATGGCCAAATTTTGTTTATGTTCTTGGATGCTGCAGATAATTTTCCTTCTCAGAAAGTGGGGGCTAGAAAACTCTGGTTTATTCTTTTTGGTGGTGAGTCAAAAACATCATTTGAGATAGGTAAGCCAGAATAGTTTCCAGTCATTTCTACAGCTTATATTTTTCAATATGATATCTTTTTTTAAAGACATTGATTGCACTATGAGATTTTACCTAAACATTAGGAAGAGCTTTTTGACGGTAGGAGGTATTTGATAGTGGAATATGCTGCTACAGTATGGTGGCTTCTTTAGAAATTTCTAAGCAGAGACTGGATGGCAATCTGTTGGGAGTTCTTTGATTATGTATTCCTGCATGGTAAGTCATTTGACTTGATGGCCATTAGGATTTCTGTCAACTTTGATTCTATGCTTCATAAAATGGAGGGAACAACCAAGAGTATATTGGAAGATCTATTTGAACAAGTCCAGCAGTGTGGAAAATGGCTTAGAGAAGTTGCTTGCATTTGTTTAGTTGTATCTTACACACATTTCTGAAGAGATATTTTCTCGGTTATACAGAAAATGCAACAAAGCTTCATTTTTCAAAATGGTATGACTATGAGATCAAATCACATATTTGCCATTATGATTCTTTTAACCTAAACACTAGTTTTCTGAATTCCTGCCTGCTTCAGTGAAGGGACCAAATAAGCCTAGCTTCCACAGTCCTGGTACTTTATTAGTTTTCTAGGATTGAAGCATGCATGAAAAGTTTAGTAGAACCAGTAGAAGATGTCTTCCCCTCAAGCAGAGACAGCCAACTGCAAATGACCTTAGCCCCATAGACAATCTTGGAGAGCTTTGTCTGGTACTTCAATAAATACAAATACATAAATCAAGGTCTCCCTCCGGAAGACCTCTTGGGGGCATGATTGATTTTCCCCATGTTTGGTGTTTTTAAAAAAAGACTTCTCCTATTTAACTTTATTGTGTTCTCTGATAAGTAACTACGCTTATCTAGGAGAAAAGGAATAGCTTGTGGCTAAGGCATGAGGTGAGACTGTTCTTCCATTAGAAATTGCTTCACTGTCTACTGTGTGCTCTTTGGTGACCCATGCTCTAAATTGTGCGGATTTGCCATTATATATATTTGAAATATTGCATGCTACCTGATACTTAGCTTTCGCAGCTGATGAAAAGTGCCATATTTCATGCTGTAGTATGGCAGTATGCCAATTTCTCCTAGAATATCCAGTTCTAGATACACACCAGTACTTCATTTTGACTGTATGACTTGTAGCTGGTCTTGAGATTTGGACTTAACTATAACCTCTTGTGCCTCTCCATGAACACTGTTATGCAGAGTGAATTGGCACCATCTGCCCAATAACTGCATCATTTTAATATTGGCAGATTGCTTCTGGTGTAGGATATTTGAACTTGGAGTTGTAGAGGCTTAACTAGAAAGTGTTTTGGAGTAGGATTCTTGTGTGGTTACTCTAATAGTACAGTTTTAGGCTGACTTGTGTTTAAGAGATGTTACAGTCTCCAGGAGCAGTTTCAGTTTTGTCACTTTCAATATCTTTATGTTTATTATGTTTATGTTGATAATGAATACCTCTGAGCTGTGTAGTAGTTGTATAGTTAAGACTTTATATGTTTCAGATTTCAATATTAATGTCAAAAATACGTAGTATGATTTTACATAGGATTTGTGCTACATTGGAACAGTAAAGAACATCCCTTCTTACTGGCTCAATTAAAATTCAGTGTTACAAACAAGGCTGCCATCTTGTCTGATATGAAGTTTCATAGTTTCCTTTCATTTGCACTTGTCTACATTAGAACAGTAAAGACAAATATCACTTAAGTAAAATAAACATTAAATATTAAATAACCAGAAAAATAGAATAAGGTGTAAACACTCAAGTAATCTGGGAATCTGCTATTACAACACATCCAATGAAGTGGTTTAAAACCAGTATAAAAAAAAGATTAGGACTAAGTACATTCCAGTCTACTTGGAATACACAAAGCGCATTCCGGAAGCGTGTTTAAGAACTGGTCCAAGAGTCCAGAAGAGCCTTGACCACCAATGTGACCATCAATGGGATTTAAACAAACTTTAATCTATTCTTATTATTCCCTTATATTCTTACAGCAACAAATTAGTATAAAATTATAAATGATGGTATCAAAAGAAGTGGAAATAATTCTGTTAATATATATGTATATACTCCATTGTAGATACAAAAGAAAGCTTTTGATAAATGAATTTGGACGAGAGCGGAAGCTGTCTAGTGGAAGGTAAGAGCAGAGCATATTCTCTGGACAGAGTTGATAAAATGCTTATTCTGAATTCTTGTAGTTTGTGATTTTATTATTTTTTTGTTTTATTTTATTTTCCATTTATCTCTGGATAATGGGATCAAGGCTGCTGTGATTTTGTATTAACAGTACTGTATATCTACAGGCTAGCTTTGAGTCTTTATTTTTTCATCCTCTTGGTTCTTTCCTGAGTCATCCTTGAAACCTCTATCCTTTATATTTTAAAACATGCTTATCAAGATTGTTTCATGGCGGGCTATAAATTTGAGAGATGAAAACTATTTATAAATTACGTTCACAGAACTAAAATCTATGGTTTCAAAACAGTTCTCAGACTAACCTAAAAATTTTTGCTTTTCAAATTCAGTGAAGAAAATGCTGGGATCATTGTCTTATAGTCATTCTTTGTACTTTAAATAGTGCAGCAACACAGAGAATGATGTCTGCTTAAGATTGCAGATAAGCAGATGTGGTACCTGTGGTCTTTGAAGTATCTAGATGCAAAGTTGTAATTCACTTAAAAAATATAAAAATAGTGCAGCCCGATTATTAATTAAGCTCTGATGATATTACAGTGGTGCTTTATCACAGGCTGGAAGCAAATGCCTGTGATAAAGCACCACTGTAATATCATCAGAGCTTAATTAATAATCGGGCTGCACTATTTTTAATTAACTGCACTTTTCAGTAATAAGAGAACTATGTGTAAATGTATTTATTTATCTATTTACGACATTTACATCCCACTTTTCTCACCCCTAAGGGGACTCAGGGCGGCTTACATAAGTGGCATTATTCCATGCCCAAATAATAACAACAATTAAAAGCAATTAAACTACAATTTCAAACAACATATGTAAACATTATTGTGCATATATCCAAAGCCAGATAATCAAATAATCATATTCATCAATCCAAAGCCAATTCTATCTGTATTGCACAGATAATTATGCAGGGCCAAATACTTAATCTCAACATCAAATTTGACATGTATGACATCAATCTAATACTAGAGCCTCCATAAAATGGAATAGGAAGAGGTTTTAAAGGGGTGGGAAGGCGACAAAGGTGTGTTCTTCAATCTCCAAAGAGTACTAGACGTTTTGATACAGACTGGTTAGAAATGGAACACTCTTGTATTAGTATGGGGATAGATTGCAACCTTTTGTCCCAGGTCCAGTTTTTGACTTTGTCATGCTGTTCACTTCCTGTGAAATATAATATGTTGAAATTCAAAATAAACGTATTATCTTCTCAGTTCTGATTCAAAGGGGTCCACAACAACAGAACTTGAGACTGATGAAGCTGTTCTCTTGAGAAGACAGAAACAAATAAATTATGGGAAGAACACACTGGCATATGACAGATACACTCGGGAAGTTCCAAGGTAAGACGTTTGGATATGTAGTATGCAGATTCTCTTTGAGAGTCAGTGTGGTGTAGTGACTCTAGGGCAGGAGTCCCCAAACTAAGGCCCAGGGGCCAGATACGGCCCTCCAAGCTCATTTACCCAGCCCTCACTCAGGGTCAACCTAAGTCTCAAATGACTTGAAAGCACACAACAAGAAAAAACAACAATCCTATCTCATCAGCCAAAAGCAGGCCCACACTTCTCATTGAAATATGTACTAATAAGTTTATATTTGTTAAAATTGTTCTTCATTTTAATTATTGTATTGTTGTAAGTGTTTTTTGCACTACAAATTAGACATGAGCAGTGTGTATAGGAATTCATTCCTTTTTCTCCCAAATTATAATCTGGCCCTCCAACAGTTTGAGGGACTGTGACCTGGCCCTCTGTTTAAAAAGTTTGAGAACCCCTGCTCTAGGGCCTAGGGTTCAAATCCCTTCTCATCCATGGAAATTTTCTGAGAGATCTTGGCCAAGTTAAACTCCTCAGTCCCAGAGGAAGGCAAAGGGACCTCACCCCCCCCCCCCCCCCCCCCCATCAAATCTTGCCAAGAAAACCCTGTGATAGGTTTATTTTGTGTGTGGATTTGTAGTGGATTAGTGAAGATGCAGGATCAGGGAAGGTGCAGAAAGAGAAAACAAACAGACTGGATTGGGTGAAAGTAACCAGATTTCTTTTCTGGCCAGGAAAATAAAGGTGGAAAATTCCTGCTCATGTGGGTAAATGTGAAACTGCCACCCAGAACAGTTAATGGGTAGACTTTTTATAATCTTCTCAAAGTTAACTTTACATTTATTTCAAACCATGTGAATTATTGTAAATCAGGTGTTTTATCCTTACTGGCTGATTGGGTGAAGTGTGCTCATGCGTGGTGCTAGGTTTCTAGTTAAGTTTCATTTCTTTGAAAGCAGCTGATTTCTGATAAACCATGTGTGTATCTCAGGGTCCAATCAGCTTGTGCTCATATGATTATTAATTATGTGCTATATGATCTGCCCAAAGACACACCTCCCCAGTTGAGAAATGAAGCAGGCTTTACTCAAATTTCTCAGAATCAAATATTTCTAAAAATCATTTCTTTCAGTTGTCCAAGCCCACTTATATATGTGCCTTCAAGTTGCCTGTCAACTTATGGCAATCCCATGAATTTCATATAGTTTTTTAGGCAAGAAATACTCAGATGTGGTTTTGCCATTTGGTTTTGCTAAAATATCTTACTGCATCTGGTGTCATAGATTCACAGAGTTGGAAGAGACTACACAGTCCAACACCCTGCCATGCAGGAAATGCACAATCAGAGCACCCCTAATAGATGGCCATCCAGCCTCTGTTGAAAAGCCCCCAAAGAAGGAGCCTCTACCACACTCAGGGGCAGTGAGTTCCACTACTGAACAGCTCTTGCAGTCAGGAAGGTCAGCCATCCAACTACTGGCCAGGACTGACTCTGCTTAGCATCCAAGTTCTGATAGGATCTGGTGCATTTAGGGTTTAGGCCAGTTTCACTTTAGGATCACCACAAACCTGAAATGGCTTAAAGGTACACAGCAACTGCAAGGTTCTAGGTGGATAATTTACTACTGCATAGCTCGTATATCTTTTAAAATGGGAAATTTATTTTCAGTATTTATATCTTGCTCTTCAGCAATAAAGGCTCCTTTTAATTTGCCCTAAGGTTTACAATCTAAACAAGATGTAATCTAGGTAAAGACTTTTTTTTGCATTTTGTTTAAATATTGCTTTTTCCTATAAGGTTCTTTGTGTTTTTAAATCTATGTAGAATTTTTGATTGTGTTGAGAAAATGTTATGAGTTTTGTATTTTAATTACTTGAAAGGGTTAATTAGGTTTTGAATTTTGAAACTACTGTGCTAACAAATAAGGAATGCAGAAAAATATAAAATAATAAAATAATAATTTGAGTAAATTAAAACATTTAAAGTTATTCCTTTGCCCTGAATTGGCTTTAAATTCTTAATTAAATTTGTTTAATTTTTTTCTTTTAAAGGTGTCTTAGAGTTCCAGGGATCCATCCAAGGACTCCAAATAAATTTAAGAAATATAGTCGGCGGTCTTGGGACCAGCAGATTAGACTTTGGAAGGTGGCATTGCATTTTTGGGATCCTCCTGCTGAAGAAGGCTGTAATACACAAATAATGTAAGTAGGAACTTCTCACATATATTTGGTGCCAAGTAGATGGATACCATGAGGATCTTGAAAGGAGATCTGAACCCAAAGAGAGTTTCAAGTGAATAATTGATAGAGTTTTGCCCAAAATAATGTGTTGTGTTTAAGTAAAGTCCCTGAGGAAAAGGTGCTATAAAGAAACAAAGGAGAGTGGGATACAGAAAGTAAAAAGGATGAGGAAAAGTAGGGGATTACAACAAGAAATTAATGAGAATCCACTTGTTACGAGATCCTGAGGTAAAAGTTTGGTACAGCGAGAAATCACAAATATAATGGGGAAATAAGTAGTAACATGAACCTGAGATAAACGTTTAAGGTAAAGTAAGGAATTGCAGGTATTGTTCCATTATCTGGCAGGACTCCCAAAGGGGGCTTAGACAGAAGGATAGTGCATTTTAGAGGGGGGGAATTGAAGGAGGGACCCCTTATTTTCATTGGTCACCCCCACCCCCCAATGTCATAAATGAGGCTTGTTTGGATGACAGCAACACAGGTGGGAGGAATAATAAGAAAACAACAGTAACGGTTTTCTGACTGTCATCTAGTGGTCACTTTAGACATTTACACGAATCTGTTGTGCAGTGTTTACAGTGGACTCCGCAAAAAATGCTTCAGCTGCATTTCATAAAAAGGAAAATCATCCTGTTGTAAATACTTTTTTTTACCAGTAAATGATTGATTTTTATCCTTATTTTATATATACCTGGGATCATTTAAACATTTCTCAGGTGGAAAGGGGTCCAGAGTGGAAAAGTTTAACAAACCTTGACTTCAGTAATAAAAAATGGAAAAATAAAGTGAAAAGGAGTGACAAATAATAAAAAGATTATTTCCTGTGGCGAACAGTTGTGTAAACGTAAGGAAATACTGAGGTTATTACTCCCAAAAAACTAAAATCGACTAGAAAACTTTCCAGAAGTGAAAAGAGTAAGGAAATAATGAAGAATTTAGACTCCATCACAACTGAAACCTTAGACCAGGCTATTGGGAATTGTGGGAGTTGGAGTCAAAAACACCTGGAGGGGCTGAAGTTTGTCCATGCCTGCCTTAGACAATGTGGTAATTCTGAAGATAAAGAAGTGAAAAACATGGCAAGTTTATAATTTAAGAAAGAATTAGAAACATGGAGAATTGAAGAAGAACAAGAATTACAAGAAAAACGAGAGTTAAAGGGAAAATACTTTGGTTAATAGAGCAAAAACTCCAACGTGAAGAATAAAAATTTTGAGAACGGAGAAAGAACTAGATTTTAAAAATAAGACATTTATTTCATAGTTCACAAATTTGAAGCAAAAGGTTGCTAGTTTGTGTAATTTGGAAAATATCTATTCATTTATGAAAATTTGACATTGTCAGCCATGGACTGGCAGGTTGCTACAGACTTTGTGTTACGGTTTACAATCCAGTTTTTCATCAGATTAACCCAGTTCTTTAACTTATGTGTGGCTACATACATTCAGCTCAAAAAGAGAAGAAAAAGATTGAATTCTTTCATTTAATGCACTTGTTTGTATTGGAGAGTGTGTGAAGAAAAACTAAAGAACAAATGAAATATACTACAGTGGTGAACACATGTGGAGGATGCGAGTGTTACCTGACAACATAGTTGATGCATTCATACACTCATCACAGTATATCAATGGTCATGGTCAGTTTGAACTATGTTTGAAGATTTATTGCATGGCATACTGAGTGATGGAGCAATAGCTACATCTTCCATTGGCATTTACACAGAAATGTTATCAAATCAGCAACTGATGCTTTGATTTTTCCAAATTCCGCAAATGTTTAAAATATCGCAAACAGTTCTGTCAAGAACGGATATGTGAATGATTCATATCCAGAATTTCCCTTCTCATAATTCTTTTGACAAAGATACTACTCAATTTTGACGTTTAATTTTATTTATTTATTTCAAGTACTTCTACCCCGCCCTTCTCAACCCCCCCGAGGTGGGGGGGACTCAGGGCGGCTTACAAAAAGGCACAATTCGATGCCTACACAGATTACACATACGTACAAAATAGCAGTTAAAACAATTATCACAGTTAAAAACAATCGGTACATAACACAATCATGCTCAGCGTTCATCTTTCAGAGTTCCATAATTCCATTCCACTCGTCAATTCCTGTCCATCGTCAAAGTCCAAAGTTTTAGTGTAAAACAAAACCAAGATGTATACATAATTAGACAAACAATAGCAGATAATTAAACGGTTCTCTTTATCTCCCAAATTCATGCACTATTTTTACATATTTTGAAATGTTTTGTTTATTTTTCAGTAGCCCTGTTGATCTTGGTGACATGGAGACGGAATCTGTAGGAAGTAATTCTGCTGGATCACAAGCAAGTTCTCAGGATAATGATGTAAGCAGATTGGGAAGTTTAGGAAAATATTTTTCTGTTATTTATCCATGGTATTAAATGAGATATTTGAAATGGTTGGCAAGGGTGAGAGCCAGGCGGGGGCTCCTTTGTGCAAGGGCAAGAGCCAGGCGGGGCTCCTTTGAGCGAGGCGTCGCACTCTCGCTGGCCGGCAAGGGTGAGAGCCAGGCGAGGGCTCCTTTGCCGGAGGCCTGGCCTCGCACAAAGCCACCCTTGTCTGCTTTGCGCTCTTGAAAATAATTTTATGGTTGGGGGTCACCACAACATGAGGAACCATATGTAGTGGTCACGGTGTTAGAAAGGTTGAGAACCGCTTCCCTAGGCTGTTGGCAAACGAGCAGCAATTATTTTTGTTTGCTAATACATGAGATTGAGATGTATTGAATGGGGGCAGTGCTTTGGATTCAGACTTTGTGGTATTTGTCATTTTTTCTCAGGTTCTAAAACTTGGGGTGGCCCCCTTATCTTTTTTCTAGAGATTGGACTCATGATCCAGCTGAAACATTAATTTTTTTCAGTGGGGAGTTCTGTAGTCAAGAGACTTTTATCATTGTCCTACAATGTAAAAAAAGGTGGATCTTGTGGCGGGCGGGGGGACGACCTCAACAAGGTAGCATGTGTAGGTTAATCCCTTGGTAAGCTACCAGGGGAAGAAACTGTCGCCTGCAGAAAACTCCAGTCTAGTGTTATCTTGGACTGGGATAAATGGCTTTTTAGGGATAAGAGTTCAGAGGTTCTCAAAGTCTAGTCTTGCCATGGCATATAACCCTGTGGCATGCAAGATCAGTAAGGACTATGAACAAAAACCCACCTCATCTGTCCTGCTCCCAAGCAGCTCTGAACAGTGTCAGATTTGTCCATTTTCAATGAAAAAATTGAAGATTTACCTTGTGAGAAGCTCTTATTTGATGGTCACCTTAGAGCGAACACTTAAGATATAAGAAACACTGTATGAACACCAAGCACAAAGTTGCTGTGTGCAATAACATGCTGCGGAAACTTACTGGCAGGGCATGGGGTGCAGACCTAAAATTAATAAGAACATTAGCCTGCTTATCTTAACTGCTGAGTATGCCTGCTGTGTTTGGCACAAGTCTGCCCACTTGAAGCAGGTGAATATAGCATTGAACGAAACATGCAGAATAATCACAGGATGTCTCAAACCTACACCTGTTGGTAAACTCTACAAGCTATCTGCCATTGCCCCCCCCCCCCCCCCCCAAGATATGCAACGGGAAGTTGCTGCTAACTCTGAGAGAAATAAGGTTGAACACTGTGAACTCCTCCCAGTAGACTCAGATCAAGGAAAAGCTCACGAGAACTACCACTTCTCTTAACAATCCCCCAGCAACAGCAAGAGTATCCTTCTGGGCAGCTAAACCAAATGGTCCACCCCGCCCCCGGAGGATCTTCCTCCAGGGTCAAACCAAGAATGGGCAACTCAGAAGTGGAGTGGGCAAATCAAAAGACAACCTGGCAAAATGGCACTACCTAGAAGAACCCTCCACCTTATGTGACTGTGGAGCAGAACAAACAACTCCGCATCTGTATGCTTGCCCACAATGCCCTACCTCATGCACAGAGGAAGAATTGTTTAAAGCCTAGACAGTGCGGTCACTGTTTTTTTGGTTAAAAAAAATAAATAGCTGCTTGTGCTCCTATGTCAGTGGTTTTCAATCTGTGGGTCTCGAGGTGTTTTGGCCTACAACTCCCAGAAATCTCAGCCAGTTTCCCAGCTGTTAGGATTTCTGGGAGTTGAAGGCCAAAACATCTGGAGCCCCATAGGTTGAGAACCACTGTCCTATGTGGATAACTTTGTTTGATTGCCAATTCAACCAGCTGTCCACATTGATGATGAGATACAGGAACTGAATTGACAAGAAGGAGGATCAAATACACAAAGAGTAATATGGAAAAGATGAAGGATTATGAGAATGGCTGATGAAGATTTGTAAATTAACTGATCAATTGATTAGGGTTCCCAAAGAGAAATACTTGCCCAAATTTAAGAAAGATTGGGATTTGTTTATTATTTTGTTATAATAATGATGGGAGCATTTGCCAATTATGAGATTTGTGAATTAAAATGTCATATCATTAAAAGTAAAGTGTGACTATATAATGCCATTTAAAGGGAGTACACTAATAAGAGATACAACCATCAGATAGGGAATGAGAAATTCATGGATTAAGTTTGTTATTTGTTTCATGCATATGTATTTGTATGTTTTATGCTTGTGTTCACTTTCTTATTTTTAGTGAATACTAAAATGCATTGATTTAAATGCATTGAGCCTTCTTCACTGATAATTTTCAGAAAGGTTGTATTTTCTAACTTGTTCAAATATTTACATTAACTACTACTATTATGAAATTTCCAGATGAGTTTGTCTAATTGTTTGTTCAATTCTGTTATAGGAAAACTGTACTTTCACACCCACCAAAGTAAGAAATATTGATCACTTGGCTGATGACGAATTTGAGCTGGAAGTGTGTTAGATTGTGGCACTGAATGGCTATGAATATGTATGCTGCAGGCTCCAGTTCAAAGAAAGAACATCTTTAATTGCGCAATTTTGAAGACAAATCAGAAATCCTTCTGTTTAATACTCCAGAAAAATGGAGAATGTCAACTGTAAATTATAACCCTTATTTCTCCTAACTTTCCTGAAGCATAACATTTGAGTTACATGTGATGGGGTGGATATTTAATGGTTATGCACACAGGAAATGGCTTTATAAGCAGTTTTGTAGTTCAGAGGATTAAACTAGTGAGATGATGTTGCCAGACCTTTAAGAGCATGGAAACATTTGTAGGAAATCCTTACCATAAATGGCAATGTGCTGATTGTTTTAAAAATCCAAACCAAGAACATGATTGTCAGGGAACAGTATTTCTCCACATTGTTCTGTACATTGTATTATATACACCTACCAGGCAATGACATTTATGATCCCTAAGCCCATGTTTTCTTCACGTATTGTCATGTGTGTTGCAGTAACAATATGATAATGAGTGCAAGCAATTTTCTTGTACTGAGAAAGGGTTCTAACTGTATTTTCAGGTCCGCTTAATGGAGGCAGCTATCTAACGTGTATTTCAAAGTGATACTTGTAAATAGTTATGCACAAAAACTTAAATTAGCTTTTAAAGAAGAACGAACGAACAGAATATGAAACTTTTGTACTGTTTTTTATTCTTTCTTGATGTAAATTTACAGAACCTTTAGTAAAATAATCAGTTGCTGAGTTTCTATGGAACAAAGCATAAATAAAGCAAAAACATCATAAACCGTATCGTGCAACAACTTGAGTGTGTCGTTTTTAGCATTATGGACATTTGTTTAGCAAAATGGACATAAAGGATTCCATTTTGATAACTATGACCAATATCACCAGTCTGCTCCTAAGCCATTTAAGATCTTATTTCCATTCTGTGTACAGATAGAAGTGCAACCCACTGTACTTGTAATTGTTGGTGAATATAGACATCTGTGGAATATGCAGATATGTGGCACTGTAGCAGTTAAGGTGTGTGATAACCCTTTAAGGGAAATATAAACTGTCAAGGATTTCTACTTCTGAAGAAGCATGTATATAGTTTCAATCCTATCGTTCTCAAGTAGGCTAAGTCCCAGCTGTATTTGTAGTCTGCTTTGAAAGGTAAACATGTTTGATTACCAATAGTAGCAAAACAATTGGGTCCTTAATGTCAGAGTTATAGAATGTAATAGCAAACTTCCGAACAAAGAATCCTTCAACAATATGACACAAATATCCTTTCTCCCTGCCTGCTTAGGCCCCTTTTTGCAACATTCCCTGAACTATGACAGCTAGCAACAACCAGACTAATCCGGCTTCCCACTTCATAGCCTCTTGTAACGTGTGTCCAGAAATGTGTGGTGTAGGCTTTTAAGCAGAGGGTGGATGGCCATCTGTTGGGGGGTGCTTTGAATGCTATTTTCCTGTTTGGCAGGGGGTTGGACTGGATGGCTCACAAGGTCTCTTCCGATTCTGTGATACTATGATTCTATGTAGGTGACATAACTTGAAAACACAGTTCAAGAAATAAATTCCTTAAGCAGAGTCCATTGTAAACACTGCACATTGTTGCTAACGGATCTGTGTAAATGAAACCTTTTTCTATTGCCAAATTTTTCATGACCCTAGCATTGAATTAAGGCAGCGTTTGTCAACTTGGGGGTTGGGACCCCTGGAGGGGTTGTGAGGGGGTGTCAGAGGGGTCACCAAAGATCAGAAAACAGAATTTTCTGTTGGTCATGGAGGGTTCTCTGTGGAAGGTTTGGCCTAAAAGTTTGGTGGGGTTCAAAATGCTCTGATTTTAGGTGAACTATAAATCCCAGCAATTACAACTCCCAGATGTTAAGGTCTATTTTCCACCAGTGTTCACATTTAGGCGTACTAAATAATTGTGCCAAGTTTGGTCCAGATCCATCATTGTTTGAGTCCACAATGCTCTCTGGATATAGGTGTACTACAACTCCAAAACACAAGGTCAATGCCCATCAAACCCTTCCAGTTGGTCATGGGAGTTCTGTGTGCCGAGTTTGGTTCAATTCCATTGTTGGTGGAGTTCAGAATGCTCTTTGATTGTAGGTTAACTATAAATTCCAACAACTACAACGCCCTGTTGACAAAATAACCAGTATTCAAATTTGGGTGTATTGATTTGTGCCCAATTTGGTCCAGTGAATGAAAATACATCCTGAATATCAAATATTTATATTACGATTTGTAACAATAGCAAAATTACAGTTATGAAGTAGCAATGAAAATAATTTTATGGTTGGAGGTCACCACAACACGAGGAATTGTATGTTGCAACATTAGGAAGGTTGAGAACCACTGAGTTAAGGGGACAATCCTGTGTTCACTTTCTGAGGAGCAGGGCTCACTGAATACTCTTGGGCTTACTTCAAAATAAGTCTGCGTAATTTCCAGCCAGTTACTTTTTCTTGGTATTTTTGAGGTAATACATAAGAGGAACTTGCTACAAATATATGTTTTCTTTATAGAAACATGCATAGTTTTACATCACTCCTAAGTAGCTAGGATCAACCTTCTTAAATCTCTCATGCAGTGATGTCTGTACCAATAAGACTTCATTCTTATCCTCACCACTTCCCAGTTTGGGTAGGTGTATACACTGCTGCTGCACCATTTATAAAATCTTTATTTCCCCTCGTGACCACCTGTGATTTGCACCTATGGTAATTCCTGCGCACGCGCAGGCAGCATCGGACATTCTCGAGACTCTCTTAAACCGTTAGCTAAGCCACGCCCACCTCCGAGCACATAAATAGCCCCAAATGGAGCTAACGGTCAGTTCTCTTTAACCGCCGCATTCAGGCAGTCGGATAAATTGAGACTCTAAGCTTCAATTAATAAAGAAGTGTTTGTGAGATATCAACTGAGATGTCTCATACTACAGGATTTAAACGCTGTACAGCTTGCCAATCTAATTTCCCGGATAATGACGCGCATTCTCTTTGCATTGTTTGCCTTGGCGAAGAGCACATGCATCAACAATGTAATATTTGCCAACTCTTCACGCCTCAAACGAGGAAGAAGAGGGAGATTCGTCTTAAAGCAGCTCTCTATGAGCAGGCGCTTCTTCCGCCATTGCCTGCGAAGAGGCAAACTGGCGATGAGAGCTCAGTAAACGATAAGGATTTACCTGAGTCATCGTCTTCCACTGTAATAATGGCGCGGCCAAAGAAAACAAAAAGAACTAAGGAAAAGGCCCCAAGCCTACTCCTTAAGCCGGCCAAGAAGATGATCGCTCATGCTGAGCCTAAACAGCCAGCGAGCGCAAAGGAAACGACCGGAGGAGAAGGATCCGCTCCCTTGCACGCGTCCCTGAGAGAGGCGGAGCCGGGATCTGCAAAACAACGACCGGCGCATGCGCAAGAGGCGAGGGAGAACCAAACCACTCCCCCGATGCCGACGCTATCGGCGCCGGCTCCTCCCATGGTCTACGTCGCGGCTTCGAGGGAGGAGCCGAACCAAGCTCCCCCTACTGACTCCTCCCAAGCGCCCGGCCCCTCCTCGGCTAGAGAGGATGATCGTATTGTGCGGAGCCGGGCGAAAGCTCCCTCGCGCCGCGCAACCGACGCCGGGGGAGAGAAGTTAGGAGGGCATCGGCGCCGGGAACGCTCGGCGTCGAAGAGTACCTCCAGCAACTCTTCAGGTTCCTCTTCTGATTCCTCCCCTCCAAGAGCGAAGAAGAGGTGCCAGAGGGGAAGGAGCAGACGAAGCAGGACACACACTGACAAAGAAGTGAGGTGTTGCTCCCATTCACCCTCTGGCTCACGAAGGGAGATGAGAGAAGGACTCCCTCAAGGGGGTTTCTGGCAAATGACACCACAAGGCCCTATCTTTTATGGAGGTTTCCCACCTCCTTATCACTGGCAAAGCTCCAACAATCCAAATGGGTTTGATATGAGACCCCATGAGCCCAGGGCTGCAAGAGCACACAGACACTTAGCTTCTGTATCAGGCGAAGTGGCTTTGCTAGACGACCCGCTGTCAGAGCAAGATGATAGTAATGAAGCTCCTTTATCAGAGCAGATGGACTTGACTGATACGTCTCATGATGAATTGCCTACACATGATGACGCAAGACGTAAAGGCCCTGCGTCTAATGTTAATGATGATGTTGTTAAATTTACAGCTATGTTAACCAGACTTATTAAAGCGCTAGACTTGCCTAATCCTAAACCGCCGGAACCAGTAGAAGATCCTATGTTTCCGGCGGATCAACAGGAGGCAACAAATAATACCACGTTACCAGTATTGCCATACCTCCTTAAACTTACTAAGGTACCAGAAGGGTCTCCAGTATCAGCACCAGCTATACCGAGAAGGGTAGATAACATTTACAGACTGGATCTATCTACTGCTGATTGGGTTTACAAACCTTTTATACCCAACACAGTTGTAGCGGAGGTTGGCCAAGGGAAGAAGTCTAAGAAAACGGCGCCTTCTGATAAAGAAGGTAGAAAGATAGATACATTGGGAAAGAAGGCTCATATAGCCGCAGGACTGATTACGAGGATGGCACATTATGCCACTTATATGTCTGCTTATCAAACGTTTTTATGGAACAAGATGTGTCCCTATATAGACTTGCTGCCTCTGAATGAGCGACGCCTGCCGAAGGCCTTTCAAAAGGAAGCATTGCTGCTAGCGAAATATCAAAAGGATTTCGCCAAACACTTGGCAGACACATCGGGGAAGATATTTGCGACAGCAACAGCAATCAGACGTCATGCCTGGTTAAGAGCTTCATCCTTGTCGGAGGATGGTTGTACTATTGCAGAAGATCTCCCAATGAATGAGAATGGACTGTTTAACCCGTTAACAGATGAAAGACTTAAACATACTCAGGAAATGAAAAAAACCATGCAGATCTACGGGTTTCCACGTCAATCAAGTTACCAACAAAAACCAAGATGGCAACAACCTTATTACAGGAGATACTCTGGTAACTACTATAATGGGCAACAACGTCAACGAAACTTCCAAAATAACAAACCCTTTACACAGGGAAGACAAGTCTATGGAACGAAGAATCGCTTCCAGCCTTACCAGAACAAACCTAACCGTTCAGGGGGCAACAAGCAGCGTTTTTGACATTCACTCAAATGATATATCAAATACCGTATTGTCAAAGGGATTTACACCTTTGGTTAATGTTTCTTCGCCACTTGGCGTATTATCAAATGTTGCATGTTCTCCTATACAGACCTGTAATCTAGGTCAACAGGATTTACCATGTTTTGGGTCACGTTTGACCCCTTTTTATGATGTTTGGACTAATATTACTTCAGATGCCTGGGTTTTAGAAATAATTAGAAACGGTTATAGTATTGAGTTTGAAAAGCTGCCTCCTGTTGGTCATGTGAGGTCGACTCCGTCCTCTGGCCCACTGTTAGATGAGATTAGTAAGTTATTGGAGAAAGGGGCGATTTCCTATGTACATCCATCTGAATATAATAGATGCTATTTTTCAAGATATTTCTTAGTGTCTAAGAAAGGTGGTGGTCAACGCCCCATTCTCGATTTACGTAACGTGAATAAGTATATCGTTCCTAAGAAGTTCAGGATGGTTTCGTTGAAAGTACTCTTACCTTTATTAAATAAAAATGTTTGGTTTGCAACAGTAGACTTGAAAGACGCTTATTTCCATATTTCAATTAATAAAGACCATCATAGATATCTGACTTTTAAGGTTGACAACCAGGCATACCAGTTTAAAGTGCTTCCCTTCGGAC